CGTATATACTTTCATTTTAGGTTTTCAAAAGGGGACAGGCAGAGATAAAGAGCTGAGATTTATAGCAGCCTTCAGCCTTGGGGAAGATATTCCCTATGTATCTAATTATGAGTTAGGAGCCTGGCAACTGCTAACACCTAGACCTGGAGTTGCTACACTGGATCTTGGCTATAATTTAGAAGCTGTTGGATAATGATACAGCAGCTCAGTGATCTGTCAGCGACTCCAAATTAGGAGAGCAGGGTTTAGTCTCAGATCAGCAGCAAGGTCCCGTGTCTCAGCAGGCTGAAGTCCTTCAGTTCACAAGGATCTTTTTTTAATGAGCTCCCTCTGTGCCTTGTAACTCCCAAGTAGAGGTGTGAGGTCTTCCCATGTCGCATGGCGCTTCGACTGCTCTTCCCATCATTATGTGCCTCAGATGGGTGCTGGGGGTCTTGGGGTCTTGCTTGGTAAAAACCTAGTGATACTTCAGTCATTTGGAGCAGAAAATTGACCCAAGGGAATCAGCATAATGACAGTTCCTCGGGACTGAGGTCAAAAAGTTGATTTCCACCCCAAAAATGGGTGATGGTGGGTAGCCTCCCTCTGCCTGCATGATGTATGGGAGTTATTTGGGCTTGGTATTTTGTGCAAAGGTATTTCTGTGCAGCTTTTGTTTGAGGACAAGCCACACTGCGTCATCCCTGAAGCGCTGGGTGGATGCAGTGGGATGCCAGAAACCCATCTGCTCCTGCAAAGCCTGATTCTTCCTTCAACTTTGATTTCAAACAGGACTTCAGGCTTTATTGCTTAAATGACTATTTGTGGATTGTGATATTAAAAAGTTGATTGTTTTTGCCTGGCTGCTGGCACGAGGCTCTTTTCCATAGAGAGAGCTGGGGCTGAGAGTGAGATGCAGTGCTGGATGTGCTGTGCTCCTGCCCCATGGCCATGCTCCTGACCCACATACATGTTTCTGCTTTGCCACCTTTTTTCCCAAATTTTGCATTGTGGCTGGTGGAATATGCTTAGGCAGGAGAGGAACGAGGACCCAGTGAATGAGACCAGGTTCCAACAGTGATGTTCAAACACTTGCTTAGCAAAGTTGCTTAGCTTGTTGCACCCAAGTCCCATTGATTTTCTGCCAGAAGTTGAGCATTTCTCTGGGGTGTTTATTTGCCTTCCCACCTGAGCAGGATGCCACCAGGCAGTGCCACCAAATGAAGGCACCCAGGAGCTTTCCTGTGTACCAACGCTGCTATGAGGGAGGTGACAAGAATGACAAGGGGGAGAGCAGGACTGTGGGGACACAACCCCTTTAATCTGTCTCAAGCTGTGGTTTGTGACTGCGCTGAAAACCTTTTATTTCAGGAAAGGCCCTTTTTTGGCCAAAATTAATGGTGTCAGTTTTGTCAGATGCTCAAGTTTGGTACAACGCTTCTCTCCAGCCAGGTTGTACTGCTGGGGGCACAGGGGAGCCCAGTCAAATCCTTGTTGTGCTGATGCATCAGCTGGGTCCAGTGGAGGGAGACAAGTGCTTCCTGCACATATCGTGGGGGAACACCCTCTGATTCTTCTTGCAACTTGAAATGAGAAGAAGAAATTTGTCACTTGGCAGAATCAGAATAGTTTGGGCTGGCAAGGACCTTTAAAGGGCTTCTAGACCAACTCCCCTGCAGTGAGCAGGGATATCTTCAACTACATCAGGTTGCTCAGAGCTCTGTCCAACCTGACCATAAATGCTACCACCTCCCTAGGCAACCTGTTCCAGTGTTTTATCACCCTCATTGAGAAAAATATTTAATCTTTATATCAAATCTAAATATTTTTTTTAGTTTGAACCTTTACCTAATGTCTAGCTCAGTGTTTCTTACAGACCTACAGTGGTCTTGGGGGTATCCATTGCTCAATGGGGGAAGAGGAGGCAGGAAAATCTACACAGCTCCCTGGGGATGGATGAGCAAAGCTCAGATTTCCTTCTCTTAGTCACCACCTTTCTCTCTCAAAGGGACAAGCCCCTGTTTTGACTCTCCCTCCCTCTGTTCAGTGAGGGTTTTACTGCAGCGAGTGCAGAACAGGCAGTTAGCTACAAACTTTGGTCTCTGCGTGATCCATTACAGAGCAAGGTGTGAGTGTTTCTTGATGAGCTAAAGCAGCAGGTAAATTAATACCCAGACCTGGAGCTGTGCCCCTTCCTGCTGAGACCATCTTGGGTACAAACAGAAGGGTTTCTTGCAGTCGTGAGCACCCAGCGGGGCGAGGATCCTACCAAATGGCTTTTAAAGAGATCTGAAAGCAGGTAACAAACACACAGGTTTTTAAAGTGTCTTCTTAATGCAAGCATCCTTAGGAGCTGTTATAAAGAAAGCATACATCTATTTAGTCATCTAAAACTTTATGCATGCTTTTATTCAAATCATCTAAACTTTAACAGCGGGGGGGAAAACTGGGAAAGGCCTTTTTCCTGGCGCGGCCGCTGTTTGCAGAGTTGGGTTTGCGTGTTTGCAAGCAGCTCTTACTCTTCAGCTGAAACTTGTTCCAGAAAAGACAACTGTCTTGGGGGAAGGGAGCCTGGGCTCAACACAGGATTTAGCAGCCTTGGTTTGCTGGTCCCAGAGCTGATACAGCTCCTGCTTCACATCTTTTCAACATTCCCTTTCCAAAGCACAGTGGAAATATCAAATCTCAGCGCAGCTCTGTGCATTGCATTGGCTGTCGTTTATGGTGGGGAAAACAGAGGCTACACAATATTGCCTGAGGTTGGGGATGATGGTGACTGAGCTAGGATTAGATTTTGGGGCTGTTTTCCAGTGAAATGGTTAATTAAACCTTCCAGCTTTCTGGGAGATGGAGTTGGGGAAGGAGAGGAAATTTCTGTCTTGATCAAAAGTGATATTCAGTTTGGGATGATAAAAATGGTATTACAAAGTGTATTTCCAGGAGTGGAGAAGAAGATGATAAGTGAGCATTAAGTGTCAGGTACCAGCTGGAAGCCATGTGACATATTACAATGAGGGTGGTGAAACTCTAGCCCAGGTTGTCCACAGAGGTGGTGGCTCTAGAAGTATTCAAAGTCAGATTGGATGGGGCTTTGAGCAGCCTGGTCTAGTTGAAGATGGCCCTGCTCATTGCAGGAATATTGGACTAGGTGACGTTTAAAAATCCTTTCCAACCCAAACCATTCTATGATTCTATGCAGTTAAGGTATTTATTATTTCCTTTATAAGTAATAAGATATTATTACTCCCTCCACCCCCACACACAAGAGAAAGCTCTTTTGCTTTCCTGCTGATTTAGCCAGTATTTAGCAAAAATGCTTAATCTGCCCTAAAGAAGCACAGTCTAAGTATCAAGAGAACAAATATCAAGGCTTTAACAAGGAGTGTCAATATTGACATTGTTCTGTGTTGAGGGATATTGGTAGGTTGTTTTCATTATTGTAAGCAACTTGTCAGAGGAAAACTCTGATGGAGCTTTGCAAGAGCTGATAAAACCTGCAGGTGCTATTGAAATTGAGCTCTTGTTCGTGTGTGCTTTGAATATAATTTCTAGTATCAGAAGTCAGCTTTATGACATTCTCATACCCCTATTCCCTTGCAGTCTCTCCCACGATGCAGATCAAGCAGTCTTCCTAAAAAGTGTTATTGAAGGATTGAACGCCTCAGCAGCTTGCAGAGAGATCTTCCTAGTGAGATGAGTTTGCTCCATGCCATGAAAATTACCCGTTGCTGAGTCCAGGAGTTGGGAATGGGAGAAGGTTGGACCCATCACCCCTAGTTTATTCAGAACTGTGGTTTTCTAGCTAGATATGCAGTTCTAGGCTTCACAAAGGTCTGGATATTTTGGGAGCACAGCACTTTTGTTTTACCATCCTGTGGGACCTATTTGTGTTTTCTACCCAGTTGTCAACACACTTTATTGAGATACCTACATTTTCCATGATTGCAATCCATCAAAATAATGGCCAGGCCTGACCTTGCCTTAGGTTGGGTAATCCCAGGGAGAGATGGCTGCAGGGCATTTCAGGATTTACAGAATCATCATGACAGGGCTCATGATATCTTTTGTGTTTGTCTGCTTACAAGACGTGTGTTTGTTTCATTCTTTGTTTTGTTTTATACTAATCCTCAAAATGCCACAAAGCAGAGTATTTCCAGATGAAGAAAGGATTTGTAAGGTTTAGGACAGAACGGGTCACCTGCAAATATCAGTGCTTCCTTATTTGACTCTGGTTTTAATGGATGTGTCTGCAATTGTATTTCAGTTCTGCCACATGGTGGCTATGGGGGAATTGTTTCCTGGTGGCAGTAGGAGCTCCACAGTCCTTTGGTACAAGGCTCTAAAGCAGGGAAGACCCACAGGCTATGGAGACTCCTTTGTTTGTGGTGGCCAAGCATCCATTTGGGGTGGCCAGCGTTGTTTGGGGAATTTTCTGTTGCTGGGAGGTCTTGCTTGGGTGGAGAGGCACTGTGAGCTGTGTCAAATGCAGCTAAAAACATTGCATTTATCATATGGAGTCTTACCCAAGTAAGCCTGAACCAGGATCTAAGTGAGGAATGGCCACTGGTCTGCAGTATGAATATTATCTCAGCTACATCCATTGAAGAAACTGTGTATTTTTAGGTTGTGTTTCCCAAAGTAGTGGTGCAGAGGGAGAATAACTCCAGTGCATGGCATCCCAGCAAGCATCCAGGGCACCCTGGCAGGTTGTCTTTGCTAAACAAGGTTTCTGTGGTTAGACATTGCTGGGTATGTGCTGCCTTGTGCATCCCCTGTTTTAGGGTCCTAAGGTTGAAGCATTGTCCAGAGGAGATCTGGGAAGGTCTCAGCTGGGCTCTTGACTTCACCATGAGCTCCTGTGTGAGCTTAGTCAAACGTGACCTCTCCATTCCCCACCTCACCCTAGAGAAGAAGAATAATCTCCACACTGTGCTGAAGCTCACGCTGCTGAGCCGCTCAGCTCCCAGGATCTATTTCTGATTTTACCTGAATGTCCTTGGGGCTTGATTTTTTGTTTTCAGGGCCAGGCCACGGGGAGGCTGAGACAAGGGAGTGCATCTACTACAATGCCAACTGGGAGCTGGAGAAGACCAACCAGAGCGGCGTGGAGCGCTGCGAGGGGGAGAAGGACAAGCGGCTCCACTGCTACGCCTCCTGGAGAAACAACTCGGGCTCCATCGAGCTGGTGAAGAAAGGCTGCTGGTTAGATGACTTCAACTGCTATGACAGGTAATAGCCCAGCTAGTTTATCTAAATACATGTTTACTCAATCCTCTAAGTGTAAAAACTCATGTTTGCATAGAGGAAAAGAAGGCAAGTCCAAGTTTATCGGCAAATCATCCCCTGGAATTACTTCTGTTGCTAATGCAGCTCTCAGAATTGTCATTCACCTGCTTTGATTTTCTAAATAGAAGCTGCAAAAATCACTTTTAGGGGTTTTGTGTTGTGTTTTGTTTTGTTTGTTTTTTTCCCTAGCAAAGCTTTGATAATTCTGGCATTCATTGAAAAACCTGTCCTGTACCATCAAATGAAGAGCAATATGTTCTTCCAGGAGCATTTGGTGATAGAAGTGAAAGCCTGGAATCATTTAGAGCTGTCTAGAAAAGCACAGATATCTGGGGGTGGTTAGGGGTTGAGATATTCTGATGTTTGTGATGTTGCAAAAAGTTCCACTGTTCCTTGGCTGAGTGAAGAGGAGGGCCAGGAGAAAGAGTGGGGAACAAAAGCAATGTGAGTTTGTGTGTCACTGCTTGTAGCAGGCTGAAAAGGAGTGAGGTTTTGTAGCGTGAAGGCTCCAGCCTCATTAAATAGCTGGGAAAATTAACTAGTCTTTTCTCACTTTCCTTGATGCAATTCTACAAAGGGGAAAAGAATTACGGCTAAAGAAAACAGCCCTATGAAGTTTCCCAGTTAAAAAGGACAATGTTGAGTAGCTCTGAGCTCAGGGTTTTTGTTAAAAACAACCCAAACCAATGACCAACCAACCAAGCCAAGCCCAGCCCTTTCAATAAGGATTAGCAACATAAAACTCAAGGATTTCCTTTGATATAACACCGATGTAGGTCGATCTCAACTCTGTGCAATTCTCAGTTGTGCATCTCTGTAGTGTCTCGTTCTGAAAGTTTTAGGAAGATCAGGTGCTAAGCTGTGGGGTTAAGCTGGAGCTAGATTTGTCCCATGGCTGCAGTGTTTTCTCCCTTTGGTGCTGTACACTTCCCCTGCTTTTGTGCCTGTTGTCTTGGCTTATCTCGACTATAAGTTGTTCCTGGTCTTTGTTCTATTATTAGCTCCAGAGTTACTTTCCTACCACACCTATTCCCTTGCCGATTGAGTAGCCAGGCTCTATATATAGTTAAATTTTTATTCTTTCCCAATAAATCAATCCTCCTTGGCCCATTAGTCATCTTAATGCCGATTCTTCTGAGAATAGAAGGTCACTGTAGTTTCCTACTTCCAAGCAGAAGTGTTTACTGTAAACAGATTTCTCCTTTCAGTGCCTGCTCTCATATCCAGTGACACTTGTATTGTCACTGAGTGTCTCTGCAGGGATGTAGTGTTTCTTAAACTCTGTCATAATGTGTTGCTCTGTTACAATGGTAAAAAGTTTCCAGGGCTCCTCACCAGCCTTTTGCAGCCCTAGAATTGAGCATCCAGTATTCCATTGCCTGACTTTTCAAAGCCACAAGTTCCAGGGCAAAGCTAAAAGACCTTCTGAGAATGAAAAACCGGTACAAATATCAAAAGCAACATTTGAAATAAAGGTTAGCTTTAATTATATAAAGGAATAAACCCTCTTTAAATGCAGTCCTTTTCATTTTTTTTTTCCCTTGAGTGCCCTTGGCAGACTTCCATGCAGGCAGTAGTGCATCCCAAGGTGGCAAAAATGGCTAGGAAGATGATTTTTTTCGATCAGCAGTGCTGTGCTGATGCCCTTTGTATCTCTGGCACCTTTCTATGCCGAGTTTCTGGGAGCAGCCTTGGCAGATGCACCTGTATTCTGTGTCCCTGGATGCAGGGCATGGTCCTGGTTTGGCTGCTGCAGCTGCTTTTGGAGCAGCACGTGCTGGGATGTGCCAAGCGCTGCCTCCTTTGTCGCAGCAGAATGTGGAAAAATTTTGGAGTTCAAGGGTTGGGACGTTGAGGGTGACGGCTCCTTACTCTGTTCTTTATCTTGAGGAAACAAGAACGTGGCACATGTACATTTAAGGTTATAGGAAAAAGGTAGTGTTTAAAAATCGACTTGTATGCTCTGGTTTATTTACACAGCCCTGCCGGAGAGGTCATGTTCACATTCCCCTGCAGAGCACGTGAACTGCTCCGAAACCTGCCCTCCCTGCCACAGAAAAATGTGTCATTCTCTCTCTCTGTCTCAGCTGTAATATTTGCTAAGTGTAACATGTCATACATACCTGGATGGCTTCACTCAGAGACAGGGATAATGAACTGCAGATGTGGAGCAGGCTGTTTTCACTCATTAGCTTGATTTTTTAACCAACAGATTTAACAAAGGATGTGTTTTCTATTGAAGGCTCCAACACTGATGCTGTTGAATCCAAAGGGCTTGTTATCTGATTTCACAAAAAAGCATCTGGAAACACTGTTTAACTTGTTGAAACATCTTTGTTCATTTGAATAAGTCAAATGGCTGCTTTTTTGCTTTGAAGTTGAAACAAATGAGAGCCTGAAAAACAAACCAAGTGCTTCCCAGCTGAGACCTTGGAGGAGACATTTTGGCTATAGCCATTTTTTTTCCCCCCAAAGGGAGTAAAGCACTGAAAACTACCCAGTGCTAGGATTGAAGAGAGCCCTTTCCATCCTTCTCATGGCAGTATGTCAGTGATAACACAGAAAGGGAGGCTTGGCATGGGTTCAGAAATGAGTAATAATGTCAAACGCATATGATTGTTTTGCTACTTCCTCCAAGTGGTCGAGGGAAGGAAGTTATGCATATAATTTAGCTGGGCTTCAGGAAATAGTTTGATACAGTTCTCTGTGGAGAGCAGCTCTGCAAGCCTAATAACTAAAACCAGAGCATAGCAGAGCAAAAGGTGGCAGGGAAGGGAAGCAGCATTTAAGAAACAGAAAGAAATGACAGCTAAAGTACTGCAAAAAATCACTGCACATCTCTTTTGGCATTGATCTGTGGGGAGGGGGAGGATGTGTGGAAGTGGAGTTGGTTTGATCCATGGAAGTCCCCTAAGGCCTTGCACAATGTGGAAGGAAATCTCAGTGCTGGGAAGGCTGCAGCAGTACCTGGATAAGAGGCAAAGGCAGAAAATGAGAGCTGCAACCTGATTTTCTTAAAGGTTTTTGTGCAGAAATAAGCTTTTTATGGAGGACACAGCACTTGAAAATTAAACTTTAAAACTCCAGAAACAAAATGAGAATCACAGGAGCCTCAAATGGTTAGGGTAGAAAGGGATTTTTAAAGATCATCCAGTTCTAGTCTCCTGCCATGGAAGGGGTACATTCCACAGGCCCATGGATGATCCAAGGCCCATCCAACCTAACCTTGTAACACTTCCAGGGATGAGGCATCCACAGCTTCTGTGAACAACCTGCTCCAATGCCTCACAACCATCACAGTAAAGAACTTGTGCCTAATATCCCACCTAAACCTGCCCTCTTTCAGTTTAAAGCCATTACCTTGAGCTCTCACTCATGCCCTCAGACCTGCAGCTCTCTCCTGCTGCAGCAGGGCTGTGGCTGCTCCTGTCTGGTGCCCTTCGAGTGTGCAGAGCTGGTGATGCTCAAGGCTGTGGGAGCAGCCTTAGCTCAGCCCTCGTCGTGTGTGCTTTATGGCACAATCTTTAATTGCATCATCAAATACTTCTCTGCCCTGGCAGCGTTCATCTGGGCTGTGGGAAAGTCACTGTTCAGGGACTGAGGCGTCTCTCTGTCGTTTTTCTCCTTCTCATTCTGTTAGCAGCAGCGGCTGTTATTTATTACTCACCATCTAATGCCCTCAGTACATATGGAAGCATTTGTTTCCTTTGCAGTCTTTTCAAGGGTCTTTGCTATCCGCTGGGGTGTTTGAGTGCCAAGTTGTTCTCTGTAAGTGGAGCCTGCTGATCTGTGCAGTGCAGGGAAGACAATTTGGGGCAGGTTGGCTCCCAAAGACAAGAGGCAGGAGTTGGCTGACAATGTTTTTCTCTCCCTTCATTCCGTGTCTGTCCCTCCCTGGTGCAGGCAGGAGTGTGTAGCCACAGAAGAAAACCCTCAGGTGTTTTTCTGCTGCTGCGAGGGCAACTATTGCAATGAGAAATTTACCCATTTGCCTGAAGTCACCGGCCCAGAAGGTGAGTGACTGGGAGGACGGGGAGTTGGGGTCTCTTCCTCTAGACCCAGTTTCCAAGGACATTATGAGAAACATAGGATGTTCTGAGTTGGGAGGGACTCACGAGGACCATTGAGTCCAGCTCCTGGCCCTGCATAAGAAACCCACAAGATTCACACCGTGTGCCTGCGGGTGTTGTCCAAATGCTCCCTGAGCTCTGAGCTTGGTGCTGTCACCACTTCTGTGGGGAGCCTGTTCTAGTGCCCAACCACCCTCTGGGTGAAAAACCTCCTCCTAATATTTGTCCTAAATCTCCCCTGATTCAGCTTCATGTCAACATTGAGTTGTTGGATGTTTTGGTTACGGAGTCAGAGATCCTTTGGCTACAGTTCTTTAAGAATAGGTTGTTTCACTCTATGGCTAAAGCTGTACCACCACTTTGGATGCCATCAGTAAGGGTTAAGTTTTCTTTATGGTGGACAGTTTACTGTGGGATGTTTCAAAACAAAATCCCCACACAAGGGGAAGAGGGCAGAGTGATTTATATAGCATGGATTGAGCCTTAAACTCTTAAAAGGAATTTAACACTTGCCTCATTAAATTCACAGAGTTTCCAGGTACCTTGAGCATCTGGGATTTTGCATTTGATTCTGTTTTGTTGATTTGGTGATGAAAGGGAAAGGGTGTGTGTGAGCTTTCCGAGTCTGTGGATATGCATCAAGGAAGAAAAGTAATAGCAGGACCTTCTTCAGAGGCTAATAGAAAAACAATGATTCTTTTAGTTGTATAGTTTTTAAAATATCATTCAATACAAACTATTAAAATAGGTGAATCTTTTCCTTAGGTTGGTTTGAACTACCTGCATTTACTGAGATGTTCCAGTAGACCTTTATCAGATTTTCCTGGCCTGTCCTGATACGTTTTTAATTGTTTACATGGGTTATATTATCTCCTGTTATTAATGTACCCGTAGCAACCTAGTAGCAAATATTCTTTCTCTCACAGTTTTTTATTTAATTTGGCAAGTCTTGCTATTTTTTCCTTCCCTGTCTCCAACATAGCAACATGGCTCCATTTAGTATTCCCATTGTTTGTGTCTCAACTGCACTGATGTAATTTGGAACAAGAACTACTGTGGGAATAGTGCATTTGATTGTGGCTCCAGCAGCATTTTACTAAAAACTGACAACTTGTCAATCACTGTGAAAGGTAAAGCAATGCTGCAAGGGATTTCGTGCTGTCTTAATACATTTGGAAGGGTTAAGAGGAAAAAATGTTCTGCTTTAGTGTATCCCAAGAAGAAATATCTATCTTAAATAAAGGTCAGATGGAAGCTCAGCTTGCAAAGTGTGGTTTGGGCCATTGTAACTCCATTACTAACATTACTTCTATGGAGAAGAGAAAACCATGGAGCCTTATGAATACTGTTGCTTTACATACAAGAAGTGTAAACATGTAACGTTTATGTCTTTTTGTTTTGTCTGCCCTCAGCAATGCACTTTTGCCCCTTGATCGGCCAAAAACCAATGTTTGGGTAACCTTAGTCAATGCATCAGGCTTAGATACCATATGTTTAACTCATTAAGCCCTGAACATTTTCAAATTGTTTGGTCAGTTTGCCGGTAGATACTTGGCCAATACCAAAAGCCATTCCTCCGAATCTGTCATAATTCAATATAAATCCCTCTGGTGGATGGGGTGTTTGGACCAAATTCCTTCCTGAAGCAGCCTTTGAACCCCAAGAATTAGAAATTCTTGGTTCTGTAAAAATGGCTTTTTGCATCAAATTTGGCATTTTTGGGCTTGCAGGAAACAAAGACAAGACTTCAGATGTCATTCCCTACCACCTTGTGTATAAAGATGCAGAGTCTTGGTGCAATTATGTTTTTGGCACCTAGTCCTACCCCTTTACAATTACCACGGGGAGTGTTTTTCATCTGTGGAGATAGAAGATCTTGGCCAGCCATCCCACCAAACACCAAAGGTGGTCCATGTAGCATTGGAAGGCTTGCTTTGCTGACACCCAGTGTAAATATGATTAAAGACCATAAACACCAAGGAAAAAGGTTTGTCCATCAGTATGAATCAGACTGCAAAGATGATTTTGAACCTTGGGGGCTGTCATCACTGGGACATGGCAGCCAGCACTGTCAGCTTTGGGAGCAGAGGGACAGATGGGGTTTGTTTGCCTCTGGATGTGCAGCTGACAGTGCTGCTGCATTCCTGAAAGTTCTTTTCCCTCTCTTACCCTGCTCTTTTCTCACAGTCATATACGAGCCACCGCCACCCACGCCCTCCCTGCTGAACATCCTGGTGTACTCCCTGCTGCCCATCGCCGTGCTGTCCATGGCCATCCTGTTGGCCTTCTGGATGTACCGCCACCGGAAGCCTCCCTACGGCCACGTGGACATCATTGAGGTCAGGGAGTCGTCCCCTTGCTTTGGGCCTTGCAAAAGGCACGGGGGCTGCTCAGTGTGTGTTCACACCCATGTCTGCTTCACTATTTCCAGGTGGCCTAACTCTTCTCTGCTTTTTGAAGTTGGTAGCACAGTTGGCCTCTATGGAAGTGTCAGAGTGATGGGTTTAGTTTGGGTTACCATCATGTCTGAGATAGCTGAGGGAGGGAATTAGACAGCCCTGCTTGGTGGCTGCCCTTCCTCCCAAACTCTCAAACCCGTTGCCTGCTTTGAGCCAAACTGTAGAGCATCGGAGATCTAAGAGATGATAAAGTTCCTGCCAGCCTTCTGAGAGGAGGGAAGATGCTTTCCCTGATGAAGCTCAGTTTTATGAACCCTCAGAGAATGGATCTAGGAGCCTTTGGGGTGACCTAGTTGCAGCCTTTCAGTACTTGGAGTGAGCCCACAAGAAGGAAGGAGGGGGCCTTATACAAGAGAATGTGGCGACAGGACAAGTGGGAATGGGTTCCAATTGAAATAGAACAAGTTTAGATTAGATATTAGGAAAACATTCTCCCCTGTGAAGGTGATGAGGCACTGGCACAGGGTGCCCAGAGAAGCTGTGGCTGCCCCATCCCCCTAAGTGTTCAAGGCTGGATTGGATGGGGCTCTGAGCACCTTGGTCTAGTGGAAGGTGTCCCTGCCCATGGTAGGGGGGTTGGAACTGGGGTTCCCTTCTAGCCCAAACCATTCTGTGATACCGTGAACCTTTCCCATCTGAAAGCAGGCAGGACAGAGCTCCAACCCCACATGTCCTACAGGGTCACATTGTTCTCCTGGACAAATGCAGAGTTTAAACAGATGTGATCTGTATGATGCTGACAGACTTATTCACTGCTCATGGCTGGGGTGACATGAAACATGCTAATGTAGTGAAGAGCAGTGGGGGCTCTTAGATATAGTTGGCTGTCTGGTCACAAAGACCTAAAGTTTCCCACTTCCAGCAGGAGGTAGCCTTGAGGACATCAGTGCTTTATAGCCCAAAATAACTTCTGCTTTGAAAACACAGGAGAATTCAGGTTTTGCACGGAGCATGGCAGCCAGTAGTGTCACAGTGTCACAGTGGAGGTGCAGATTGTTATACATGTTCTATACCAAAATCCTACAGAGCAAGTGAGATCAGGCTGTTCTTGTTGCAAACAGTGCACCTAAATAATTTGTATTAAATAAATGTATGTTACTTTTTCACACGTCTTTCCTCATGTGCAGTCTCTTGATTCCTCCCCTCACTTTTTTAAAGTCCAGCTTCAGCTGGTGACAGTGGTTTTTTTTCCCTTGTGCAGGATCCTGGCCCACCACCCCCTTCTCCCCTGGTTGGCCTAAAGCCCCTGCAGCTCTTGGAGATCAAGGCAAGGGGACGCTTTGGCTGTGTGTGGAAGGCTCAGCTGATGAATGACTACGTAGCAGTGAAAATCTTCCCTATTCAGGTGAGAGGGACACTGCACCAGGTTCTTACTTGCCAGGGGCTTCCTCACCAGTGCTGAGATGCTCTAAGTGCCTATGGAGATTATGGTTTTTGAGACATAACAAAGATGCATTTGGGCTCTTCTGCTGGGGGAAAAAGTTCAAGGACCCTTCCTTCCTAAGCTTCTCCCTGCGTTATCTCATTACCAAATGCTTCCTGTAGTAGTGCTTGTTGCAAGAAGGGCAAAACCAAGCACATTCTGAAATCTACAGGGTATGTTAACTTCCCTGCAAATGCCTGTGTTGTTTAAATCCAGCAAGGCAGGGCGCAGCTGCAGTGCTTAGAGTGCACACAAAGGGCCAGAGCCCTGGCTTTGTGTGTCCTGCCTGGGTGGATTGTAAATCTGGATCCAAACCTAGTGAGCAGTTTACAGCCTCCAAAGGCAGAGCCCTGGTGCTGTGAGAGCTAATTGTGCTGCAGCGTTTCTGTCAGCTCCTGTCTTCTGCTCCAGGAAGCCTTTGAACACTCCTGACTTGATTCTCTAGGAATTGCAGATGAAAAGAGTAAAGCAGTCAAAAAATCAAGTGAACGAAAAATGACTAAAACATCTTTGTGCTCCTTTGCTGTCTCCATCACTTTTTCACCTCATATTTGTTGTCATACATTGCTAAAGGAGATCTGCACATCTTCTGTCCAAACCAGCTGTGACCTACTAGTAAATATTCAATAGAGCCTAGATTAGATTTTGCAATTGCAGCAATTACCCTACAAGGCTGATCCTGGGTGCTGTATGCACAGGCTTTCTTCTTGCAAGTATCCTTAGGAAATCTTGAAAAATATTATTTCTCAGCAAGGTTGAGTTTGGCTTCCTCTCCGTTCCCCACACATGTCCTTTAGGAACAGCTGAGGATAATTTTGGAGAGGGGAGACTGAGGACAGCAACTTGTTTTTCTTCTTTAGGGAAAACAGCCTCCTTTTGAAGGGATGCATCACATCCTAACACAGGAGCATGATTTTTAGAGTTGTGTGAGCAGCTCTGACTGAACTGAAGGAGCTGTTTGCTTTAAAGGGAAGTTTGATCTTTGATGGTGCATTTCTCCCTGCTTCAGGATAAGCAATCTTGGCAGAGTGAGAGGGAGATTTTCAACACTCCTGGCATGAAGCATGAAAACCTTTTGCAATTTATCGCAGCAGAGAAAAGGGGGACAAACCTGGAGACAGAGCTCTGGCTGATCACAGCTTTCCATGACAAGGTAATGTATCATTGCACAGACATTTTGGGAAGGCAGAGAGGGAGCTGGTTGTGATACAGCAGGATTATAACCCCTGTAATCCCTCCAGTCTGTGGTGGGCCATGACTGTGGTAGCAAAGTGCTCCTGCTCCCCTGCTTCAAATGCTCTTTCTTTAGTTTTCAGTGCTTTCCTACACAAACAAAAGATTAATAAAAGTGGGATTTAGGAAGGGAGAGAGGCACAAAAGGCCACAGCTCACATCTGTAGTGATCACCAGCTCTTGATGTGCATAGATGAGCGTTGTGGGAGACAGATTTTGCAGACCCAACTTGCCCCTTGCAGATGGGCTCCATTTTGCTTTTGAGGCTTGGGGCCCATCTCCCACTTCATGGATTGCTTTAATTATAAACCATGACTAACACTTAAAACAAATGTGCAAATCTGGGGTTGAGCCAGCAGTGTTATCCCCCTGGTAAATCCAAGGTCTGCTTGAGTCAATCATTGCCACAACCAGCTGATGCAATGCTTCATCTTGCATGGAAGGCTTTCCCCTTGCTGAGGTTGGATGAATTGCTCTGGTTAAAGATGATTTTTTTCCCTTCCTTACCTCCCTTCCCTTCTTTGGCAGATAAGTAGACATCAGGAGGTCTGTGCTGTCAAGGGTTGAAAACTCATGGGCACTTCTGATTTTTATTTCTCCTTTTTGCTTCACCAGTGATCTCCCCCCAACCCCACCACCCTGGTAAATCAAGGCTAGATTTTTTCAAGAACTCTCTAAACCATTCTCTAAACTGATGAGTTGGCACATCTGTCACATAGAGGGGTCTATGATTAAGAACTGACAATGTCCTGTTCTGCAGGGATCTCTGACAGATTACCTGAAGGGCAACATTATCAGCTGGAATGAGCTCTGCCATGTTGCAGAAACAATGGCCCGTGGCTTGTCCTACCTTCATGAAGATGTCCCCTGGTGCAAAGGTGAAGGACACAAACCTGCCATAGCACACAGGTAAAGCCTCTTTTGTTGACACTGTCTTTGAAATGATGCTGTTGAATGGAGAAGGAAGTTGTGCTTTTAGGAAGTAAAGGCCTTTTAACCCAGCAAATCCTGTGCCAAGAGAAGAATTTTTTTCAACCACATATAAAATGGTGAGGGGCAAGTAAGTGTCTTGCCTGTGGAATAGCACAGTTGGTAGTGGATGATGGTAAATGTCCAAAGAGTAGGGGCTTCTCTCTTCCATCAACTCTTCCCTTGTGGTGGAAAGGGAATTCTGCTGCTGTAGAAGCACTCTTTGAAAGGACTTGGCTTGATAGTATCATTGCATCATGATCTGTGTATTTCTATGGCTGTACCAGGAGCTGGACCCTATTTTTCCCCGATTTGGACTGATAACTCCACTGCGTGTCTTCCCACAGAGCCTTTGATCATTAGGTAAAAAATGGAGAAACTGTGCAAAGGCAGAAAATGGCTGCTAATTACTTTTCCCTGTAGTTTTATAAGGCCCAAATCGTGCCAGGGTGCTTATGAGAGACACCACAGCAGGTGCCACCCTGCTCTGCTCCTGAGACCTGGCACACGCTTCAACCTGCCTCGGTGGCAGTGCAGAGGGGACAGCTAGAAAGAAGCTGGGTTCAACCATGCTCATGCTTTAGCCCTTCTCCAAAGTCCCACACTGCTTGCCCTACATTAAACCACTCTTCTGAGTGGTTTGCTGGTGGCAGGGCAGGATGGGGGAGATTTCCAGAAGGGATTTACAGGCTGTAATCCGTGGCCATACTCCCCCTCACCCACCGCATTTCATCTAGGAGGGACTTAAACCCCCAAGTCCAGCTGCAGCAATTTGTACCTGATCTAGCAGGCCTGGCTTCATGTATGGCAAGATAATCCTTGTTTTTGCAAGGGTATCCCTGCCCCCAAAACATCCCACCTCCTCAAACCTGGAAGTTTTGGAGAGATGGGGGCTTTTGAAAGAACCTGCAGCTGCCTTTGTGCTGCTCCTGGAGCTGACCCCTGTGTCCCTGACATTTGTCCCTGTAGAATAAAGGCAGTGGTTTATAGATGAGAATTCCTGAGGGTGGGGAACAGAGGAAGGCTATAGAAAGGCTTTAAAGCAACAGATCGTGCTCATTAGTGTCCCTGTCCATTTAGCAAGTGATAAAAGCTGTAGAATGCAGCATTTGTGTGAATTTAGCACATATCTAGTGGAGGAGGGGTTTCAGGACACAAGGGATTTCCCTCGGATTACCCCTTTCCTTTTAATTTTATTTTTGAAAGAAAACACTAAATGCATTTTAATCCAGGGAGGGAGGTGTGGGGGGTGTTTTTGAATGGCTTCCCACAGTGCACATGGCTGGAAATGCTGGGATTGCCAGGTGGAGCTCCCCAGTCCCTGCTGGGCAGGGGTTCAACCAACTCCTCTCTGGCCCCCGGCGCTACAAGGAGGATTAAGGTGATGGAATCACTTGTTGGTGCAAAAGTGCCCCCACGTGGAAGCTGCAAATAACATCTCCAGTGTCTCAATCGAATTAACTCACCCATTACTCATAGTCTGCTTGTTCTGTATTCCCTTGTATGAAGTGCTATCTGAAAAAAAAACAAAATTCTTCTTTTCACACCACTTTTCTTTGGCAGTGACCATTTTAGGATGGTCTAATACATATGATGTTATGGGAAATCTACTTGGCACAGCTTGAATTAAGTTCTTCTCCCTGGCCTGGATACATTTGCATTGTAGCTCAGACTTGCCAGTTCAAGGTGGTTTGTGAAAGGAAGGAAGGAAAGCGTGGAAAACTGGGGAAATGTATGGAAATGGGGGGGAAATGGAATTGTAAAGGGAAATCCCTGCATCTTGTATCAAGATGTAGGAGTTAACTGTTGCATGCCTGAAGGGCATTGCAGGTTAGGAGCAGCAACACATGCTCTACAGTAATGCTGGTTCACATCTTATTTCACCTTGGAACCACATCGTTCAGGCAGATTGTCTGATAATTTCTGTGTGGTCCTCATCGAGCCACTGCTTTGCAAAAATCTCATGCACAATCTGTACCATCCTGAGGGCATAATCCCCTAAAGCTGAACGAGCAAAGGCGTTTATCCATGTCATTAGATGATGGCTGTTTCCTAAGCCTGTGGGGAAACTGCTATAGCATGGAAGCAGGCAGTCTCTGGGGTGACAGATAGTGGGAAAAGCAGTTCTTCTGTGTGATGGAGGGGTACCAATGTTTTGGAGGCTCTGCAAAGCTGTACTGAGTCCCTAGAGCTGATGGAGGCTGGTTTCTGCTGGGGTTCACTGGCTGCATGGTGCCCTCCAACTTCACACCCACTTCCCCCATCTTAATCCCCAAGCCAGAAATGCCCATCACGCTGTGTTTAGCTTAGAGAGGATAAATCCTCTCTTCTGATATTTTAAGCTCAGAATCAGGGGCTGGGTGATTTTTGCTTGCAGTGCTTTGAGCCGAAGCTCTGGCATCTGAGGCTGCAGGGAGCAGCCCCTTCTCTATGGTCCAGCAGTTTCTCTCTTCACAAAGAATTTTGACAGGTCTCTCTAGTGCAGAACAATCGTATCTGCCCTCATTAATTATTTTGTGCAGGCCTGCAATGTCCTGCAATCAGCAGGGTCACCGAGTGAATTGATGATAGGGAAGTTATAATGCTGAGCATACAGGACAATTGCCATCTGCTGTCTAAGGTCTGTAATTTAATTAGATTGCCAAACATTCCTTTTCAGATGAAAATGCAGGAAGCCCAGGGAACAGGGCTCGACTGGTTCAGCATCTCAGTGTGCTCTTCCTCCAGCCCCCACCCTTCCCAGCCCCTGCAGATTTACCTGAGCTGCCCTGAAATGATCCTGCTGCAGCACAGGACTGACACAAATGTCCTCTTCAAACACAGAGCCACCATCTCTACTGCAAATTTCCTACACCTGCCTGTCAGCTGCCTGCTCTGACCCTGACAGCGTGTCTGTGTGGCCTCACCCCCTTCCCTGGTTGCTTTCCAGCCCTCTGAATTCTCCAGGGAAGATCAATCCAGCAATTACAACAGAAGGCTGATAGATGACTATGGCAAAAGTCTGTTGAAGCATGTAGTCAGGGTGGAGAGAGTCTCACCAGCATCTGCTGATTTCCAGAAAGATCTAATTTTGTAGATAGGAGCAAACATCCTTACTAGGATAAAGAGTAATATACTCCCTTAACCTGCTTTGGTTTTCTGCTTGGGGATGAGAAGGGCCCAGAAGATGGGGGTCCAGAGCTGGTGCTTGGAGCACGAAATGGTGCCTTATATACAGCTTGATCTAATTAAAAGAGCCCCTTCAGATCAGATTTTACTTTGAGATTAATTCACTGTAGAGTTTGACGACTCTATGCTGGTCAGCTCAGGGCTGCTTGGCTGTGTTTTGGGGACGAGGGCAGTGAGGAGCAGCTGAGTTTGCAGCACTGGCCATGCTGGGACTCTGGGGAGAAAGGAAGAAGGAAAGGAAGAAAGGAGCTGATTTCCTGGGAGCTGCTGAGCCTATAGACAATGTGTGTGCTGCAGTGTGATTTAGACACACACCATGATAAACCCTTCTCTTTCTTCTTGCCTTGTCCATAGGGACTTCAAGAGTAAAAATGTCTTGCTGAAGAATGACTTGACAGCTGTGCTAGCTGATTTTGGACTGGCTGTACGGTTTGAACCTGGAAAACCTCCAGGGGACACTCATGGACAGGTAATCATTACCTTTAACTTTTTAAAAAGTTGGCCCTGCCATAGCTTCTCTGGAATGGGGGCTGGTTTGTGTAGATGCATTTAATTCACTTTGAAATATGTATTTTTTTCCATAAAATCTTGTCCTTAGACATAAATTCTGGGAGCTGCTTTAATCTGGATCAGTGGGGAGGGTGCTCAAGCTTTCTGATTGCTGTGCTGGTGAGGTCCCCCCAGCTCTGGGGTCAGGTGGCTTCCTCCTTCAATGACAGGGCTCATTGTATCTTTATTGTTTTCGTATAAATATCCACAGAATCACAGAATCACAGAATACCATGTTGGGAGGGACTCAAGGATCATCTGGCCAACCTTTCTTGACCAAAGCAAAGCAAGGCAGTCCAGCTGAATCTTAAAAATGTTTAGTTTTGGAGTCTGTTGCACATACCACTTCTCTAGGCCATAACATAAATATTAATGCTCCTAAATATTAATACTGATACCACAATACAAATATTAATAATCCTAAAATTATTGATTTAATTTTAAGAATTCAGCCAGGCTGGCTGCTTGGGTGACCTTTGGCACAGCTGGCTGTGCACTGTGTAAACCATATACTACAGTTTTATGGGTTCTTAATTTTCTGCCTTTGTGTTGCAGCAAGCAGCCCCTCTTTCTGCTCTCATGCCAGAACAGCAAGTCCATCATCCCCTCCTTGTGCCTCCAATGCTTCCTGAATTTCCATCTCCAATGTAGTCTCCCTTTTTTTAGCTTTATCTCAGAAGGAATGAACACTTTTCTGGGTTGGCCTTACTCAGCTTTCCTTATTTTTGTCACTTTTTTTTTTTTACTTTTCCAGTATTTTGCACATCTTTCCATATCCTGGCTTCACTCTGTCCCCACTACCTCAGCTAACAGCAAGAAGAGATGAGAATTTCCTTAAAGGAAATTATTAAAAGTGTTTCAATTCCCAAGAAAGGTTCTTTTCCCCTTGCTGTTCTGTCTACTCTCCTACATTATGAACTGTACTAAACATAACAATGGAGGCACTAAAATGCCTATTCCCTCAAAACAAGGGGAGGTCTTTTCCAAACCATGGCTAGCCAGGGCTCATGTTTTACTACTTCTGTGGATGCAGGAGACTTGTTTTATCTAGGGCTGTCAAACCAACACCTTTTCCTACCATTTCAGGATATATAATTTTTTTCTCTTTTTTTTTTTTTTTTTTGGTTCTGTTTTTGTTTATCGAGGGGGTTGGAATTTTTTTTTTTGCGTGAAAGAGGATTGACCTTTCAACATTTAGTATAACCAAGCCAGACATGACCTCAGGGTGTTCTGTGTGTCTCCAAAGACAGCATTTCCTCATGGAGGGTGTTCTGCTGGAGCAACATGCAGCAGGATACAGACCTGTAGCATGCCCTGAATGAGTATCACACACATAACCTTGCACTTTGGCTTCCTCCTTTATGTTGCTCATCTGGACTCAAGTGATCTTAAGGAGAATCTGTGTCAGAAGAAACAGCTCCCCTTTGCTTGTTTCTCGAGCAAGGTGCACCTTTAGCAGCAGTGGCCTCATGAAACCAGCTGTCACTTACTTCCAACCAGAGGAGGCTGAGGGGCCCCAATGCAATGTAACTGGAGCTGTGTTTTTGCTCTGTAGGTGGGAACAAGGAGGTACATGGCTCCTGAAGTGTTGGAGGGAGCAATCAACTTCCAACGAGACGCCTTCCTGAGAATAGACATGTATGCAATGGGACTGGTGCTGTGGGAGCTAGTCTCCAGATGTAGAGCAGTTGATGGTAAGAATAAAGATCCTCTCTTCCCTGGGGAAGGTTTTGTTTCAGTGTGGTTTAGTTGTCCAAAGAATGGATCTGTCTCTGTTTAAAAAAAAAAAAAAAAAATCAATGGCATATTTTTATTAAAAGCAGCTAACCTCTTTTTCCTTTTTTTTAACACAAGGTGTTTCTCTGTATATAATAACCTTTGTAAGTGCTCAGGTCTCAAAGTACTTTTTACTATGTTGGTTACCTTGCAAATTGCTGAGAAATCAGAGGGAGAAGATGATCCCTACAGGATGGGTGCTCTTTACTCTCAGCCTGCTCTGTGCTGCTCTCAGTGGCACTCCACATTTCTGCCTGTGACCAGGGCATGCCTTGGGCTCCTGAGAAAAGCCACACAGCCAGCTTGGTTATCACCTCGCTTGTGCAGGGCAGTGGGGTAGCCTGAATGGAAAGCAGCTTAGTGAAATAGCAGGAACACAGGGCTGGAAGGATCTTCCTGGGTCAGCAAGCCCATTTCCCTGCTATGTTAAGTCATTAGTTATTGATCTTTGACTTTTGCTGATCAAGCTCTCTCAGGTTTTTTGCTTCATTTACAGCTTTGGAAGATCTCACTTTCTCCTGAAGGATCTAAAAGTATGAACTTCATGGTGTCTTCTTTCTTCTTTTTTTTTTAATCCTAAAAGGATGCTGTGAAGTGGGGCATCTCTTCTGTCCAATCAGCACATCTGTCCTTTAGTGACCCTTGCCATTTGCAGGACAGAAGAGCAGTCACATGTTATTGTAGCACCAAGGCTGCTTCCTCCAGCTTTTTTTCTTCTCGTATAGATATGGGTGCTCTGAACTGAATATCAAGTTCATAAAACAACAGCACCTCACCTAGACTTGAAATGTTTTTGTTAGCATTGCAGTAGGACTGAGGAGCGTGATTATAATTAAAATGCCTCCCAGAAGTGTGTGGTAACAGAAGGTCTCATCTTCAGAAATGTACAGTCTAATGAGATAAAATGCTGGAGGAGCAGGGAGCTGAGAGCACAGTAGGGTAAAACAGTGGCACACAGATCATTCATGTAGGAATTGCCCTTCTCTGTTGAGGTGCCCCAAATATTCACTTTCATGTTTCCTGTAATTTTTGTGATCTCTTGCCAATTTAAGCAGCCGAGACACCCCAGGTGCCACACACAGCACCACTGAGTCAGAGGGAAAACTTCCTTTGGGATGACAGGGAGTTACACTGAGCCTCATCTGCACTTCCAGCTCAGAAGTGATGTTGTGTAAACAGCACATTTAGCTTGCAGATCACCAGTGCAGCTCTTCACAGTCTGGGTTCCTCTTGGAGGAAAAGCAAAGTCACAAGTGACCCTGATTGGAGCACATGTTTCAGTTTGGTTTAGTGGCTGCCACTGAGTAAACAACAATAATGATAAGCCACTTTAGTGATTGTGATTTCATTCTTTAGAGTAAACATTGTGCTGTTGGTGTCACAATTCACCAGATTAAGTGGTCAGCTCCTTTATTTTAGTCTGGAAAGACCCTTTTGGGGTATCACTGCTCTGAAAAGAGGTCATTTTTTGCTACTGAGAAACTGTAAGTGGTGCCATGTAGCACCCTGAGAAGCCCATCAGTTAAGCTGGGCTGCTCTTCTGAGAGAGCATCTACACATTGCCAAAAGCCAAATGATGTTTCAATAAGCAGAAGTTACTGCTATCATCCAGCATCTGCACTGATACTCATAACAGTTGTCTCATTCCCGTGGCCCTGGGCAGTTCACAGCCATAACTGGTATAACTAAAGCATTCAGAAATCATTTTATGCTTAGGAGCCAGTACTTGGGACAAAGTGCATCTGGCTCCAGTGTGTCAGGGCTGACTCAAACCTATGAACAAACCAGATCACAAAGGAAGAAAATAGAAGTGTTGTATATGCTTAACCTTGTTAGTCAGTGCTAAAATGGAATTATGCTCATGCTGAAATCTTTCTCTAGGTTATTGTGTGTTGAATTGTTGTGTTAAATTGTGGGGAGGATGAGTCGATCTGCTCTTTAAATTAATATAAATCATGGATTACCTGGCAAATTTCCTCAAGAAAATGGCGGGATCCAGAGGCCCAGCTGAGGGTTTGGATTCATAACTCAGCGAGGTGGAAAATGCACGGCCAGACAAGCAGCAGGGACAGCAAAGACCATTGTGCAGGAGGAATGTAAATCACATTTGTCTGCAGTGACATGTGAACGTCAGGCTTTGTTGCAGTGGGTTGAGGTTGCTCTGGAGCTGCAGCTCATTCGTGCATGGGGCTCTGCAGAGGCCATTCCTGCCCCTAACCTGATTCTCTGTGTGCACCATAGGTCCAGTGGATGAATACATGCTGCCTTTTGAAGAAGAAATAGGTCAGCACCCATCCCTTGAGGACCTGCAAGAAGTGGTGGTTCACAAGAAGATGCGCCCCGTGTTCAAGGATCACTGGCTAAAACATCCCGTACGTCCCTCCTGGTTAACAGTGGGAAACATTTTCCTTTGTGATGGGAATGAGGGATGTGGTTATGTGTTCCCAGTGTTAGGCAGAGTCAGCTCTGGGGAATGAGGGATTGCTCAACACCTTTATGTTCCCTTTTCTTTTTATCTCTCATTTTTTAGAGACTAAACAAGCTGAATAATGTGGAGTGTGTGGTGGTTTAGTAGGACTCCTTTAATATGGTGAAAGAATGGAACATAAAGTCCTTTCATAAAGAAAAAGAAAACTATCCATACCATTGGAGACACACTCCTCACAAGCTAGATACCGTGCAAGACTTGGAGCAGTTTATGGAGGAAAAATTAATTAGATGTGAAAGCAAGCAGACAATGAAGCAAAATGCAGTGTGGGTTTCCCAGAGGTAGTTCATTTCAGGCTCACGTTTTTAATAAAAGAGCTGACTTTCCTTACATTGGGAAGATAAGAGATGATGATATCTCACTGGGCTTCACTAAGAAGTCAAATGCCTCTATTTTGCCCAAACTGCTACAGATTTGGCTAGACTCAGGTGTACTAACTAATTTCCCAGAAGTTAGGGAGAGCTGTGGATTGTAAAAGAAGATGAGTGTACTACTTCAAATGAGGGTTCAAATAAGAGCTGCATTCTTCAAGCACTGTTGAATTCAGGTTTTTTGGAGATATCGAGAGAAATGATTGCAAACAAAGCAAATGGTTTCATAGTAACTGATACAGTGCTGCCAGCTCTCACAGTTTCATCATGGGAATCTTAATACTTATTGTCTTTTAAAGCTTCAACTGCTGAATCTTGGGATTTATTTTGATATTAAAAAAAGCACTTTTGGGGTGGAATACGACCAAGCCTTAGAAAGCACATGCTTAAACCATGAAAACACATATTCAAAGTAATTTTTGAAGTTTATCTCTTGGTAATTGGCATACTGTGGAAAAAATACTTGTAGGGTTTTTTTAGAGCATTGGCTGTGTTGAATGGATCTCTCCACTCTCTGACATGGTGGTGCCCATGATGCCTTAAAGATATAGAAATAAAACAACACACTTCTGAGACAATATTAGCAAAGGAGGTAATATAAAAACTCTTTGATTGGAGGCCTCCAGGGAAAGATATGGAAAAATGCCCACCCCACACAGGGCGAATACAGCTTTCTGAATTTAGCAGATTAGCATAATTAACAAGAATCCCCAATTAGAAACACAGGTGATGAGGTAATTCCCCCTCTTGGTTCAGCGTCTTCTGGAGCCCCCACATTGGTAACAGCTGTACTTATATGAAAACATGTCTTGGGTGGGTTTGGATTTAGATGTTTTATAGTTTTTATTTATAGTTTTATAAGTTGTGAGTTTTATAGTATTTACTAATAAGGTAAAAAAATTGAGATGCATTTCTTTTTTATTGGGTTTTTTATGGGTAAACTCTTTAATTAAGAAATGGTACTTAAATTAATTTTATTTTTAATTTAATATCTAATTACTTGTGTTTTGTAATGTTGATCTTTTTATTTAATTACACACTATTACTTATGAAGAAGAAGGTGAAAAAGAAGGTAAAGAAGGACTAGTTTCTATTTTAAAGACTCTATTTTGTTTTATATGTATTATTATATTTTAAAACTCTAAGCTTTAAGCTTATTATTATGCGATGTTACACATTTTTATTTAAACTACGCACTTATAATCTTGGTTCTATCATTTAATTTTGAAAATTTTTTTATGGCTTTAGTTTAAAAGCAGTGCTTTCTTAGGGCGTTAGCGTTTGTTCATACAGAAAGTTTAAAATTTTCAGTGACTGGGGTTCCAACAGCCTCCCCCAGGGCAGGTGATTTTGCTGAAGGTGTTTTATTATGTGATGTTACACATTTTTAGTTGAACTACGCACTTATTTAATTATGGATTTTTTTTTATGGCTTTATGTTAAATGCTGCGTTTTCTTAGGGGGTTAGCGTTTGTTAGTTGAGAAATTTTAAATTTTTGGTGACTGGGGTTCCAACAGCCTCCCCAGGGCAGGTGATTTTGCTGAAGGTGTTTTATTATGTGATGTTACACATTTTTACTTAAAATATGAACTTATAATCTTGGTTCTATCATTTAATTTTGGAAATTTTTTTTTGGCTTTATGTTAAAAGCAGCGTTTTCTTAGGGGGTTAGCGTTTGTTAGTAGAGAAATTTTAAATTTTTGGTGACTGGGGTTCCAACAGCCTCCCCCAGCGCAGGTGATTTTTCTGAAGGTGTTTTATTATGTGATGTTACATATTTTTACTTGAACTACGCACTTATTTAATTATGGAATTTTTTTAATGGCTTTATGTTAAATGCAGCGTTTTCTTAGGGGGTTAGCGTTTGTTAGTAGCGAAATTTTTAATTTTTGGTGACTGGGGTTCCAACAGCCTCCCCAGGGCAGGTGATTTTGCTGAAGGTGTTTTTTTATGTGATGTTACACATTTTTACCTGACCTACACATTTATTCAATTATGGAATTTTTTTTTATGGCTTTAGGTTAAATGCAGCATTTTCTTAGGGGGTTAGTGTTTGTTAGTAGAGAAATTTTAAATTTTCAGTGACTAGGGTTCCAACAGCCTCCCCTAGGGCAGGTGATTTTGCTGAAGGTGTTTTAGTATGTGATGTTACACATTTTTACTTAAACTATGCACTTATAATCTTAGTTCTATCATTTAATTTTGGAAATTTTTTTATGGCTTTATGTTAAAAGCAGCGCTTTCTTAGGGGGTTAGTGTTTAATGGTAGAGAAATTTTAAATTTTCGGTGACTGGGGTTCCAACAGCCTCCCCAGGGCAGGTGATTTTGCTGAAGGTGTTTTATTATGTGATGTTACACATTTTTACTTGTACTACGTACTTATTTAATTATGGAATTTTTTTTACGGCATTAGGTTAAATGCAACGTTTTCTTAGGGGGTTAGCGTTTGTTAGTAGCGAAATTTTGAATTTTCGGTGACTGGGGTTCCAACAGCCTCCCCAGGGCAGGCGATTTTGCTGAAGGTGTTTTATTATGTGATGTTACACATTTTTACTTAAACTATGCACTTATAATCTTAGTTCTATCATTTAATTTCTGAAATTTTTTTATGTCTTTAGTTTAAAAGCAGTGCTTTCTTAGGGGGTTAGTGTTTGATGGTAGAGAAATTTTAAATTTACGTTGACTGGGGTTCCAACAGCCTCCCCCAGGGTAGGTGACGTTGCTGAAGGTATTTTATTATGTGATGTTACACATTTTTACTTGAACTACTCACTTATTTAATTATGGATTTTTTTTTATGGCTTTATGTTAAAAGCAGCATTTTCTTAGGGGGTTAGCGTTTGTTAGTAGAGAAATTTTAAATTTTCAGTGACTGGGGTTCCAACAGCCTCCCCCAGGGCAGATGATTTTGCTGAAGGTGTTTTATTAAGTGATTTTACACATTTTTACTTGAACTACGCACTTATTTAATTATGGAATTTTGTTTATGGCTTTAGGTTAAATGCAGCATTTTCTTAGGGGGTTAGCGTTTGTTAGTAGAGAAATTTTAAATTTTCGGTGACTGGGGTTCCAACAGCCTCCCCAGGGCAGGTGACGTTGCTGAAGGTGTTTTATTATGTGATGTTACACATTTTCACTTAAACTACGCACTTATTTAATTATGGAATTTTTTTTTTATGGCTTTAGGTTAAATGCAGCGTTTTCTTAGGGGGTTAGCGTTTGTTAGTAGAGAAATTTTAAATTTTCGATGACTGGGGTTCCAACAGCCTTCTCCAGGGCAGGTGATTTTGCTGAAGGTGTTTTATTATGTGACTTTACACATTTTAACTTGAACTACACACTTATTTAATTATGGAAATTTTTTTATGGCTTTAGGTTAAATGCAGTGTTTTCTTAGGGCGTTAGCGTTTGTTCGTACAGAAAGTTTAAAATTTTTGGTGACTGAGGTTCCAACAGCCTCCCCAGGGCAGGTGATTTTGCTGAAGGTGTTTTATTATGTGATGTTACACATTTTTACTTAAACTATGCACTTAAAATCTTTGTTCTATCATTTAATTTTGGAAATTTTTTTATGGTTTTATGTTAAAAGCAGCGTTTTCTTAGGGCATTGGCATTTGTTCGTACAGAAAGTTTAAAAATTTCAGTGACTGGGGTTCCAACAGCCTCCCCCAGGGCAGGTGATGTTGCTGAAGGTGTTTTACTATGTGATTTTACACATTTTTACTTGAACTACACACTTATTTAATTATGGATTTTTTTTTTTTTTTAATGGCTTTAGGTTAAATGCAGCGTTTTCTTAGGCGGTTAGCGTTTGTTAGTAGAGAAATTTTAAATTTTTGGTGACTGGGGTTCCAACAGCCTCCCCCAGGGCAGGTGATTTTGCTGAAGGTGTTTTTTTATGTGATGTTACACATTTTTACCTGACCTATGCACTTATAATCTTAGTTCTATCATTTAATTTTGGAAATTTTTTTATGGCTTTATGTTAAAAGCAGCGTTTTCTTAGGGTGTTGGCATTTGTTCATACAGAAAGTTTAAAATTTTCGGTGACTGGGGTTCCAACAGCCTCCCGCCGGGCAGGTGACGTTGCTGAAGGTGTTTTATTATGTGATGTTACACATTTTTACTTAAACTATGCAATTATAATCTTAGTTCTATCATTTAATTTTGGAAAATTTTTTATGGCTTTAGTTTAAAAGCAGCGTTTTCTTCAGGCGTTGGCATTTGTTCGTACAGAAAGTTTAAAAATTTCAGTGACTGGAGTTCCAACAGCCTCCCCCAGGGCAGGTGATGTTGCTGAAGGTGTTTTATTATGTGATGTTACACATTTTTACTTGAACTACGCACTTATTTAATTATGGAATTTTGTTTATGGCTTTAGGTTAAATGCAGCGTTTTCTTAGGGGGTTAGCGTTTGTTCGTAGAGAAATTTTAAATTTTCGGTGACTGGGGTTCCAACAGCCTCCCCCAGGGCAGGTGATTTTGCTGAAGGTGTTTTATTATGTGATTTTACACATTTTTACTTAAACTATGCACTTATAATCTTAGTTCTATCATTTAATTTTGGAAAATTTTTTATGGCTTTATGTTAAAAGCAGCGTTTTCTTAGGGGATTAGTGTTTGTTAGTAGAGAAATTTTAAATTTTCTGTGACTGGGGTTCCAACAGCCTCCCCAGGGCAGGTGATTTTGCTGAAGGTGTTTTATTATGTGATGTTACACATTTTTACTTAAACTATGCACTTATAATCTTTGTTCTATCATTTAATTTTGGAAATTTTTTATGGCTTTATGCTAAAAGCAGCGTTTTCTTAGGGGGTTAGCGTTTGTTAGTAGAGAAATTTAAATTTTTGGTGACTGGGGTTCCAACAGCCTCCCCAATGCAGGTGACGTTGCTGAAGGTGTTTTACTATGTGATGTTACACATTTTCACTTAAACTACGCACTTATTTAATTATGGAAATTTTTTTATGGCTTTAGGTTAAATGCAGCGTTTTCTTAGGGGGTTAGCGTTTGTTCATACAGAAAGTTTAAAATTTTCAGTGACTGGGGTTCCAACAGCCTCCCCAGGGCAGGTGACGTTGCTGAAGGTGTTTTCTCGCCGTGTCTGTCCCCAGGGCCTGGCGCAGCTCTGCGTGACCATCGAAGAGTGCTGGGACCACGACGCGGAGGCGCGGCTCTCGGCCGGCTGCGTCGAGGAGCGCATCGCGCAGATCCGCAAATCCGTCAACGGCACTACCTCGGACTGCCTCGTCTCCATCGTGACGTCCGTCACCAACGTGGACTTGCCACCCAAAGAGTCTAGTATCTGAGTCCTGGGTCCTGGTTCGCTTTTTGTCTTTCCAGACTCAGCGGATTTAAAACAAACAAACAAACAAATCGACAAGGAAAAGAGTTTAAAGAAAAAAAAAAAAGTACAAAAAAAAAAATTCACAAAAATTCAACAAACCCATGAATGCAGCTGCTATTTTATCTTGACTTTTTATTATTATTGTTATTATTATTATTATTGTTATTTTTTTGGATTGGATCAATTTTACCAGCACATTGCTCTACTGTATTAAAAAAAAATGGACATTTCAGCAAGCATTCAGGTGCCGACTAATGAATGCAGAAAAGGTGCAGGTACCTCAGAACCTCAACAAACTCACTTCAGTTGTTTTTATTTTATTCAGTTTTCTGGGTTTCTCTTTATCAGTTTGTCTTCTGAGCGGAGCATCTGTGACATAAAGCTTATGTGACATAAAGGAAAACCACCTACCACCTTTGAAAACGCAATGCTGCAAACTGTGGAGGAAACTTAAGACTGTTATGTAAAGAACACACCTTCCTCAAAAGCATTTTTCCCCATGTTGGTTTTGGGTTCAGTTTCTTTTTTATTTTTATTTTTTTTTAGGTTTTTTTTGGAAGTGAGCTTCAGAAAAAAACAGCAGATGTGTCTTTTACGGATCTAACGGGTGTCATTGTAACATGGGAAAAAAAAAAGTAACTGGGCAGAGAATGTTAATTCTTGATGGTATAATTGAAGGGGGGAGCGTAGAATAGGGGTGGGGAGAGTGACGTTGGACTTGGCAGCATTTGGGGAAACATCATTTGCTATGGAGCTACTTCTCAGGTAACCATTAGAGGAGGGAAAGGACATTTCTGGGCAGAGTATTTACGGCTGCAGCGTATGGAGAAAGCGGAGTTAAAGAGGCAGTGGTTGGAAGACAGGCACTTGTTTCTTCCTCCAGAGACTGGGGTTGGGTGGTAAAAGAACAAACCAGGACTATTAACTTTTATTTTTCATTTCCAGGTAGTAGCAGGAAGGATGCTTTCAATGTCATCAGGACAGGTGGGGAAGTGTGATTTCAGAAGCACTTTGGTAAAATACTGGAAGATGAGAAAATTTTTGCATCTCATTTTAAGTATGAGTCAGTTGAGACAATTTAGCCTTGGGTTGATTATCTTTCAGCCCAAGCTAACGGTGCAGACAGTGGAAAGAGGAAAAGAGTGAAAACTTGAGTATATACATTTTTTTTCTTTATTAATTTGGGACTGGGGGAGTGAATGGTGGCAGCTGGCTCCTGCAGCACCTGAGAAGCCTGAGAGCTGCCTGGCTGCAGGGAGCTGAGGCAGCTCAGCAGCAGCAGTAATTCCCACAGCACCTCTCCCACTGGTTTCTTTGACGCTGCTTTCTCCTTACTCTGTGATGAAACTCTTTTGTCTTAAAGTGGTGCATATTTGAAAATACCGTTACTCTTATTATGCCATAAACTCGCTCTAGTCAGTGAATGTTCCTAATGCTGCTGATTCAACATGAAATATTTTTTTAATTTGCAAAACATGCAATGTTTAAAAAAAGAAAAAACTTAAAAAAAAAAAAACCAAACACAAAACATACACACACACACGTTACGTGGCTTCCGAGGTTTAAACTGAAAAAAAAATTAAAAACTTCATGACCACAGACCACCTCAAACCAGAAATACCTCAGAATTTTCTACTTGTATGAGTTTTATTATATATTTTGTTAGTTGTGTTGTCTTGTAGTAAGTATATTTTAATGTAAGTTGGCTTTTATGACAAGGGAGTTTTAAAAAAATTAAAAAAAGAAAAAAAGTTCCAAAATCTTTTAGGAAGTGCTACCATTTTTTTGTTGTTTTGTTTAATAAAGCACCATTGTAAATAACTGTATACAGTTGTGGAATAACTGCCTATATAAGGTACCTGGGCATTATTCACTCTTATTTGTGAAGGCTGTTTCCATTCTGTGTTTTTTTTTATTTTGTTTTTTTTTTCCTTTGGTCTGTTTTAGTGAAAGGACAGTACATCTTTTTTTTTTTTTTCTTTTATTTTTAAAATTTTTTTCTTTTTTTTTTTTTTTTTTTTTTTACTTTGAATATAACATGAGTTCTGTGTCTTGCTAGACTGACAAAGTTATGTCCATTGGATGGCCAGATCTTCTAAATTTTTCTTTGTGTTAAGCCAAAATGCAGTCCTAAACTAATCACCCTGTAATGGAAATGTAAAAAGTCTGTATTATATATAAATGAATTGGACTTCTCTCCACTGCCAAATTATCAGTGTGCACCCTTGCACAGATATAATTTATTAAGCAAACAAAACTGCTAATTGGAGAAAATATTAAAAAAAAAAATTGAAATATATTTCTTGAAAAGTATAGCTTTAAAACCTAGAGGTCACAAATGAGGACATGGTCCTTTATCTTGAAGAGACATTAAGAGAATTGCCTTAATTTGTCTATCTGAATAAAGTCTTAACCTATTCTTTCAAGTTACTGAATGTATATTGCATATTAGTGTGTACACACATGTAACTGTGTTTCCGTGTGTAGGTTTGAAAGTTTCTGTTTCTTGATGTGCTTCTGTTGAGAAAACCTTGACAAAACCAGACAGAACGATACCGTTTTGACCCAGCCAATGTCCCTGGTGGCCATTGGCACCTTTGGGCCTGATGCTGCAACGTACCTATGCTTAGCATTGAGGGTGTAGGTAGCTCTTCTGGTGTCATGACATTAGGCACTCACTTAATGTTAAGTGTGGTTGTAAATGTTTGCAGGATCAGTATTTTTCATGTTTAATACATTTCTGCACTGAGATTTATATGAAAATGTGACTATGTCTTAGAAGTGAAGTGATGTAAGGGTTGGGGTGGAGCGTAGAGCAGTTAATTTAAGACTGAGTGAATACTTGTTTTGAGGTGGGCTCGCTCCCTTTTCCCAGGGAATGGGAGCCAGTTCCTATTGCTGCAGAAAGAAAAAAAGCTGTACTGTCTTTTAACTGTTAATATCTGTTTGCTCTTCTGGATTTTTTTCCTTCAGCATTACGTATTATAGCTAAAACAGGCTCATTACAGCAGTTGCTTTTTTATCCTGATTTCTTTAAGAAGCTTTAAAGTATTTATTGAAAGTGCCATATTATTTTAATAGCCTATTAAACAGTGTCTGAAATCTTCTCTTTTGAGAAAGCATAAACACAAATTCTCACATGTAGCTTATCTTACTGCGGGGAACTGCACGACCGTACAAACCTTGACCGAATGTTGATTGTAAAGTGTTACATCTTCCTGGTGTAATGGTTCCTTATAGATCATCTTGTCAGCAGGACTCAGAAACTGATTGGAAAAAGAATTTCCAAATTGGGTGTGTGCTGGGTAACGAGTTTTATATGTATGTAGGTACGTGTGTCTTGCTATTGCAGCATAGAAGGAAATCCTGAACTTATAATGTGTACCAATTTGGATAAAGCTGTTTTTTAAACTGGTATTTATTTATTTTGTTAACAAAGACAAGCTCTGATTAACTTGTTGGTCTTTCAACAGTTGAGCTGTCAAGCAAGTACTTTCCTCACCTCTAATCCATTTAAACTCTCATTGACAACATGATTTTAGTTCTGTTTGGTACTGCAGAGGCTTTTTCCAAGTCAGGAATTGGGCACATCCATAGGTGTAGCTGTCATAAGCAAATGCAGCTCTTTTTCTTTTAACACTCCCTTGAATACGACGGTGACAACACCTCTTATGTTGCTTCCCAAGCACTGAATTTCACTTCCCATTCAGACTTAGAGGAAGCAGCTCTGCAAAAATTTGTCTGGAGATTTTTATTGGTCACCTCCCTCTCTCATATGGAAGTTCTTAGGTGAATATTAACACTGAATATCCTGAGTAAAAATTCTCCTTGTCTTTAGGAGCCAGGATTCCACATCTCTCTGGTGGAACTCCCTTTTATGAATTTATTGCACTGGCTGGACTGGTTTTTAGGTGCAGAAATTTTGACTTCACATTTTTAAACTGGAAATACCACAGAAACAAAAACTGGGGTGTTTTTTTGAGATGGTAGAGCTGTGACTTGCTGATGAAATTGCATTAATACAGCAAGGCTGAAAATTGTATATGGCTTATATTGAAATATACATGCATTTTATAAGAGGTGGCTAGAAACCAGCCTAACTATAAGTTAAGTAATATCAGGCTATTCATTAAGGATTTTAGCTGGTTCTGATCATTAAGAAATCTCTATTTAAGACAAAAATAACCCACTTTTTATTCTGTCTCGTTCTTCAGCTGAAATTCTCTTACAGAATATCTTTATGTGCCAGACAGTTACACCTATGGAAGTGCAGAGGTCTTTGTTTTGAAGAGAAGGTCTGTGTGTGTCCCCCAGTAACTCCCCTGCATTTTCCTTGGGTCTCCTGACTCCCTGCTGTTCCCACTTGAAGTCAGTGGTTTTGGTGGAAGCAGACATTTCCAGGCTGGCTGGGTCAGGCCTGGCTGTTAGGAATCCTGATCCCCCTGAACATCGCAGCACTGAAATGTTTTATTCCTCTTGTACCACTTCCTAGGCAGAGTGTCAGAGCGTGCCCTGTTTTACAGGCATGGAAGGAACTCATACTGCAGAGGAAGGTGCTGGGTGATAAAATGTGACAGTGCTGTTGTTGCAGTCCTTTTCAAGCCACACTCCGCTTGGGAAGTTGCTAAGCAGGAAGCGTCCCACAAACTTTTGTCACTTTTACATACAGGATATTGTTTGGTAACATTGTAAATAAAATAGACTATATAATAGAGGAAAATAAGGACATTTTGACTTTTTTACTTTTGGAAATATATATATATATTTTAGTTACATATACAAACAAAAATTCTACATTGTGTGAGAATTCTTTTATACCACAAATTATTTTTGTAATGTCTAATATGTTTCTGCAGGGAAAAGGGAGAAAGGTCTGTGTATGCACAGCAAATAAATAAATAAATATATATATAATGTTTAAATTAAGTGTGCACTACATCAAAGTCTAGAGGATAGAACAAGTGTAGCCTGAAAACAGTTTGAGGAGCAAGTTGGATGTACTTGGACATGCTTTGAGGACAGCACTGAGTATATGTTTAGGTTATCTTGCATGTCACATCCCTTCTGCTAAAGATGCTTATTGCTTTTCTATAGCCATCTTCAGTTAACCTGGGAGGAATTTTTCACGTCTTCATGCGAGTAGCCGTGTGTGGGCAGTGTGTCTTTTGGCATATGCTGTGGTGCTGCAGTGAGTTGTGCAGTCAGGGTGTTAAGAATTTACCGAGGCCAAACAGCCGGGCTGATCCTGCTCGCTGCCGTATCCGCTGATAGCAGCTGTGTCTGCTGCACTGACAATATGATCTGTAAGGAGCTGTTGCCAGTGGAATCCTGATAAAACCAGTTCCTAGAAATTCCTTCTCTCTGAAGTGACACGACTAATCAGGCTTCACCAGAACACACAGCTATGTCCTCTCTGTTCCCAAAATCAGATTTAATAGTCTGGGTCGGAGGCACTAAAGAAAAGGAGCACTGTCATGTCCAAAGTCCTGCTAAGAGAAAGAACTTCCCAAATCTGTGTAAGCAATCCAAGATATTCTAAAAGTATTAAAAAAAAAATGGGGGGGAGGGGGGTGTAACCTAATTTTCAATTGTACTTAAAATTCACTGCAGTCTTTTTAGTCCTCTCAGACATGATAGTACAGTGTCAGTGGGTGAGAGGTACTGAAAAAAGCTTTAGACCAAACAACACATGGCACTGCCTTGGAGCTGGTTTGACAGTGTGCCTTTTGCAATTAGTGCTCACTAATTCAAGCAGACTCCTGCAATTACCGATCCCTCAGCTGTGTTCTGGTGAAGTCCTAGCCCTGAGGAAACCAGGAGGAGAGTTTCCATCCAATCCTGTGTGACCACAAGAGTGTGTGTGCTCTGGAACACTTTCTAAGCACACCTGGTCTTTTATTTACATGGGACTTCCTTTTTTATGACTCGTTTTAGGGTGACACTCAGTTCCCTGACTGAAGTAGTAGCCTATGGAATGAGCAGCAATGCTTTTTGTCAGGACACTTCCACAGAAAGAGATCATACTTGTGTTATGTCCATCCAGCTGTTCTGAAATGTAATGCTATTCTGTTGTGCCTTTATTTTTCCATGTAAAAGCAACTGCTGTAAGCTTTCTTTTTCTTTTACTAGTTTTATTTTTTTATCTCTGTCTGAAAAAAACCCACACTTTTCATTGCCCAGCTGTCATTTCTGGATGCAGTCTGTGATCCAGGTATTTCAAGAACCAATTACCTCAAACCTCATGTTAAACAGTGTTGCTATCTGGATTCGCCTTGATACTACAATATTGTAACATACACAAACAGGAACCTTGCTCTATATAGGTGTTTATATATATGTATCATATACATATATACATGTATATATATGATATATATATGTAAATGGAAAGTGATCCCCAAGGACTGAAGGAAAAAAAAACTTATTTTGTATTCCAACACTGAAACCAAAAGGGCTTTTCTGAAGCTCTATAATGGCATTGTGCTGGGTCTCTACAAAGAAAAAGTGTTTTCTAAAAAGTGCTTCCTTTATTAGCCTTTTATTTCAGTATTTTAATGGGGCAGATGATATGACTAAAACACCACTTCTGCATTTTTGGCCCATTTTGAAGCAGAAGTCTTAGTCTTTCCAGTTGTTAAAATAAACAAAAACTCAGTTTATAACATTCCAATAAGGTTGGTATTGCAAAACAAACATGTTCTAGTAAAATTCCATAGCTTCTATTTTTGTGAAAAGGAAGGCCATACTTCATTCAATTTTCCAGTGTTTTGAGGAACTGAAGTTTAACCAGTAACCATCCTAGTCAATTAAAATCCTAATTCAGTAGTCACTGGCATCTCTGCATTGCCACATATGTTAAAACACCAAAATAAATTCCAAAAAACAATCAAAACCAAAAATCTAGCCATGACAGAGGAGGAGGGGATTGGAGCATCTCGTAGCTTTGGAAAGTGGACTTAGCAACTTTGTGGATAGCAAAAAATATGTTGGCAAGACTGAAAACCTGTTTGTCCCTTTCCTTTTCCAAATACCTACTCCCAAGAACCAACTTATAAAATCAAACCTTCAACTACAGCAACTTCTTAATGGTACTTTGCTGAAGAGAATTATTTTCAGGCTATATTTTGGGGAGAAAAATAAAAGTGGGACCATTTTTAAAATTACCATTTTATTTTATGTGTTGCCCTCCCAAACGTCTGGTTTGTTTTTTTTTTAAATGTATCCATGTAGTTGCTACAACATTAGTCTGTATTTTACTTGGACATCATAGTAGCTTTCCTGTAGCTTTCCAAATACTAATGAATTTACCATTGCTAGTAATTCATTTAATTACTGGTAATGAATGGATAGTAATTAATTTACGATTACTAAAGGAAGAGAACACGATATTCCCTTTCCTCATTTTTTTTTTTCCTTGACTGCCTAATGTTTCTATGGCTATTGATGATTATTATCTCTGGTAAATCAAAGTACTAAAATCTCCCAGGAGGTGATATTTTGCAATGCTGCTGGCCTTCCAATGGAATAACTATGATGCAAACATCAATCTCGTAGTGGGTGAGGATTGAAGGAGGTGGTTACTGCAAACTAAGTAACATTTTTGGCCTCAATTCTATGCCATAAGCCTGCACAATGCCATTGTCAATCTGTTCAAACTATCTGCTTATGAATTCTGCATGATCCTCATGATAGAGTTGAAAGTCTGATCTTTCACCTGTTAATATTTTCACATTCGTCCCTAAGTTTGACAAATTTTGTACTGTAAAGTTGACTTAAGTACAGTTTGATGTCAATTCTTGTGGAAAGAGCTTTCTGCATGTAACATTAGATGCATACAGTTAAACAACACAGCATAGTACAAAAACTCACAAGAAAATGTTTTGGCACCAGCAGGAAGAAATCTCACCCTAACCATTTGTCATTTTATAACCATCCTAATTGTAAGTTTTACCAGCTACTTCTAAATTTGTGCTTTATTTAAAGAAAGAAAAGAAAATCCTAAGACTTGTCTAGCGTAGTGAAATATGTGTATATCAGTTTTAGGATAAATAGCTAAGTCTTATTACGCTGTGTTACTTAACTTGTATATATAGAGTATACATAAGAGTTTGCAGTAACCTGTTTCTCCAGGATTTCCAGTTGGAATGGATTTAAACTCAAACTATGAGATTAAATGATTTAGAAGATTGCAGAATAGGCTGAGTGTAAATTACAGGAAGCTCTATCAGATGGTGAAATAATTTTTAAAGAGTCTTTTGGTCCTTGGCTCAAATTCACTAAGTACTGTTTGTATACCAAGATATGTGAAATGTAAATGTTGTAGGTTATATTTCACTCTTGTAGCTATAAAAATGTAGAACAGAGATAGCTTGTACTACTGAGTTAACAAAAGTTATACTAAAGTATCCTGTTAAAGAAAAAAGTATAGAGAGTTAAGCTCGTTGCTGTAACCCCTTTTGGATTGAAGTGTGCTGATTTTTATATATGTACATTTTATATATATATATATTCTGCAGAAGTATACATATATAAAATGTATGTATAAAATGGCCTAATGCAGACATCCATTGTATTGCATTTATGAAATGAAGACATTTTGGAAAGAACATTGTATCATAGTTCATGAATTTGCAGTGGATCTTTGTTCCTTTTTACTGTGGTATTTTAGAAAGAGTCTCAAGTTTGAAATTAGATCTGCCAAGTTGGAGTTTTGCTGCTTCAGCTTTGCACTGGGTGTCCGAATAAACCAGTATGAATGTAGTATTTGCCCTGTGTGAAGCAGCTACACCCCAACAGATAGGAGGAAAAAAAAACCTAGAAAGAACTATTTCAAGTTTATCTTTTTGTATATGAAAATAAACAGTAAATTACAAATAACTGTTTCCCTCGTTGGTGTGACATTAAAACTCATTGTTATTTTATTGTCTTTGGCATCTAGCTGGAGGATTTCCTTCTGTGTAGTTGAGTGTTTTTAGTGTTTCAATGGCATTTCTGCTACCCAAAATCCCTAAAAAGTCCCCGCAGAGGCATTGCTGAGGCCTGCCTCTACCACCCATCACTTGCAAACGGTTCCAAAGACAAGTAGGAGTTATCTCAAATTCACAGAACCATAAAATGGTTTGGGTTGGAAGAGACTTTAAAAGATCATCCAGTTTCAACTCCCCTGCTAAGGGGCACCTTCCACTAGACCAGGTTGCTCCAAGCCCCATCCAATCTGACCTTGAACACCTCCAGAGATGGGATGTCCGTAACATCTCGTATTATTATTATTATTATTATTATTATTATTATTATTATTATTATTATTATTATTATTAAATTTGCCTTTTGAGTGTGCTGCCTCTTGTAACACTGTGGTGACACTCCTTATCACTCCTAGCAAAGACCTGTTCACACAGGGCAATATGTGCATGTGAAGCTGTATCAAGACAGTCCAGCAATGTAGCTGCAACTGCCAGAAGCAAAGGCAAGGGAACTTAACCAGGAAAAAGATTAAAAAAAAAAAAAAAAGTCTGAGTTCCCTGTACTCATAGCACCACACTGAGGTCTGTAATCCTCACATGAGATATGATGATGCCCTCAGCCACACACTGAAGCATGGCCAGACCTGTCCAGGAAAGCTGCCTGCAGTTAAGTGATGATGTGGCCATGAAATCCTTATATTCTGATGTTTTCCATTGCTAAACTGATCCTTTTTTTCAGAAAAAAAATGCCTCTGGCTTGGTGCAGGGTTGAAAATGCGTAGTTTGGATGGATATGAGGTAAATATGAACATTATCAGGCATTTGGGAGGGGAAAATAGTAATAATTAGGCTGGTGGTTTTCCTGAATAGAAGCCCAATGTAACATCACCCTATATTGACTAAAGCCAACCCCATACCACAATATTCTTGTTCAGCCTGGAGAAGATACGGTTCTGGAGAGATCTGGTGACCTTCCAGTCCCTAAAGGGGACTTGTAAGAAAGATGAGGACAATAATCCTGTTGTGATAGGACAAGGAGGAATGGTTTAAAACCAAAAGAGAGTAGATTGAAATTATATATAAGGAAATTTTTTACAGTGAGGGTGAGGTACAGGCACAGGCTGCTCAGAGAGTTGGTGGATGCCCCATCCCTGGAAGCATTCAAGGTCAGCTTGGATGGGAGTCTGAGCAACCTGGTCTGGTTGAAGATGTCCCTGGTCATTGCTGAGGGGTTGGACTGTCACAGAGTCACTGAATTGTTTGGGATGGAAGGATCTTCTGCACATCAGCCAGTCCAGCCCTCCTGCCAAGGCAGCATCACCTGGAGCAGCTGACACAGGAATGTGTCCAGGTGGGTTTGGAATGTCTCCAGAGAGGGAAAACTGTGACCTCCCTGTTCCAGTGCTCTGCCACTGTCGATGTAAAGTTCTTCCTCACGTTGAGGCGAAACTTCTTTTACTTTGTGGCCATTGCTCCTCATCCAGTCGCTGGGCATCACTGAAGAGTCCTCTTGGTTCCCACCTTTGAGATATTTAAATGTATTAATGAGCTCTTCTCTCAGTCTTCTCTAGACTGACCAGACCCAGCTCCTGCAGTCTCTCCTCATAAGAGAGGTGATCTTTTCTCTCCAGCTAAAGACTTTAAAGCTCCTTTCCGACCCAAACCATTCTACGGCCCTATGATTCAGTGATCCTTTGCGCTGGTCGCGCATACAGTTTAACCACTAGAGTCCCTGTCGGAATCTGTGGGTATTGGTGATTCCGAGATTGTAGAAAGTCTCTGTCTTTCTGCCCCGTTGCCAAAGAAGAAGCCATAATTCGTCTGTGCTGGTTTCAAGGTTGTTTATTCTGTTTATCTCTAACATGTTCTGCTGCCCTGCCGCAGGTCTGTCCTGCAGGGCAGCGTGTGGGGCTCTGCCCTCAGTGGGATGGTACAAACATTATATACCAGAAACTACGTGTACTATATTTACAATAATGTGCCAATATCTATAATCTACGTTGAACAGTGTGTTCCCAGCCTAAACCAACAGAAAAATGCCAACACCACAGTGAAACATGGAGGGCATGAAGAAGGAGAAAAAGGACAAGACACACCCAATTTCCTCCATCTTGTCCCCTCTGAACCCCTAATCTAGAAACTTAAAATTTTACTTTTGCACCTGTGCCACACTTAATTATTACTCTTATCAAACACTCAAAGCTTGTAATTCATCCTGTAAGATTGAAAACTCTTTTCCATGGACAGAGATCACAGACAGTGTCTCTGGGGGCTCTGTACAGGGGGGTTCCTGACCCCTGCCAGGGTCCCAGACCTGCCAGGGCAGCCAGAGGGAAGCCCTGGATTCCCACAAGTCCCCATGAGGGAACTCACTTTATTTTGCCACAGCTGTCGGGGAAAGCCCCCGGGCTCATCCCCTCACGCCATGTCCCCGCTCTGAGGCGGCGCCGCCATGGCGCCCTCAGGGCCGCGCCGTGAGGGGGCGCTGCGGAGCCGCGCCCGCCCCTTCCCCTCCCTCCGTTCCCTTCCCGCCGCCGCCATGGCGGCCTTGCCCCGCCACCGCCGCTTCCTCGGCGGCTTCATCTGCGGGGCCGCTGCCGGGGCCGCCGCGTCCTGCTGGGCGACGTGGCGGCTCCTCCGCAGCCAGAGCCAGCCGGAGCCATCCGGGCGGGCCCCGGCGCAGGGTAAGAGCGGCGGGCAGTGGGTGAGGCGGGAGCGGCCGGTTCAGCGCGGTCCCGGTCCCGCAGCGCCGCTCCCCACAGCCGCTTTTGTCCCCTAAACTCTCTCCTTCCCCTCAGAAGCGCCTTTTTCCTCCTTCCCCCATTCCCGGAATGCCCAAATAGTGCCGGGAGATCGTAGGGTTCCTTAGTACCTGCGGCGGGCTGAGTGGGGAGGAGGTTGTTTGGGGATGCTTCCCGTCGCACCTGCTGAGTGTTGGTGGCAGGAGAGGAATGGGTATTTAGTTTTAAATTTTAGTTTTAAATTTTAGTTTTAAATTTAAAACTAAAATTTCAGTTTTCGCGTCAGACCATAGCTAAATTTCAGCTGTTGCTGCCCTGGATGAGCCGAAGCTCGTTTATCAATCTGGGGTCTGGTGGGGTTCAGGTGTGGGAAGAGATGCTTGGAGCGCCTGAGGGACTGAATGGCTTTCTCCACAGCCTCAAGGCTTTAAAAGTACCGGATTGTTGGAAAGCAGAGGAAGAATGGCTCTAAAAACATGAGTTGCTGTTGGACAGATGGCTGGAGAATGAACAAGACAGTAAGATGGATGTAAATATTGCTCCATGAGGAAAAAAAAATATTGCTTGCAAAAATAATGAAAATTCAGAGATGCTTTCATTCATTGAGCAGAGTGTAAGTGTTCCCAGGGAGGCCAGGACTTGCTTGTGTCCAACTTGTAAATCTCAGTTTGTGAGGAATTTGATTTCCAGCTCCAAGGGGTGAAATCTATGTGTTGTAACTCCTTTTTGGCTGATTTGTCCCTACACATCTGAAAGCTTTTCTTCTGTAGAAAGAAAATGTCTCATGGCTTTTCTTCTGCCTTCTGTAGTCATTAGAGGAGGTAGATGACTTAGTCCTAGAGCTGAGATCCTCATGTTAAAACATGATGAGAACCACAACTATTTTGGCAGATGAGTTTCACTGGAGAGCTCTCTTAATATATTTTAGGTCTTAATTGTAGCTGTAACCTCAAGTAATTCCCTATACAGTAGGTTTACACCCACTGAGATTTTTTTTTTTACTGTCCCATTTATGATCACATTTCATATTTGGATGGTTTTCTGTTTATTTTTTTTTCCTTAGAACCAGTAGAAGAGGCTCTGCTGGAAAGATATGGATTTCCTGAGGCTGGAACAGAGACCAGATGTTACACAAATCATGCACTGTCTTATGACCAGGCAAAACGGGTACCTAGATGGGTGATTGAACACATTTCAAAACAAAAGATGCTGGGTATGTAGGTGTTTATTTGTTGCAGTAATAAGCAGACAGGACTCATTTTCTTCATGCAGAAAGGCCAATCTTTAATGTTACAGCCCATTTTTGTACAGTTTTTAAGACCTCATGTATAACTCCTGATTGGTTCATAACGTTTTTGCCACTCGGTTCATTGGTTAGTAAATGGCATTTTACATGTCCATCAAATTTCTCTATTCCTGCATAGTTTACATATTTTGTTCACTGATTCCCATGGGATAGACTTTATGTTTTTGCAGGTGTGAAGGGTTCTGTTACCAGAATAGATCGTTGTGCTAACTGACTTTCATTCTTATGATTTTTTCACGTGGGAAGTTACAAGCTAACTGCTAGCTTAGCTAGAGTAGCAAGGCCTAAACCATATTTTATAAGGGCTTTTTAAAATAATATCTCTACCTGTATTCAACATTTATCTCCTTACATTTGTGATGCTCTGAATGGGCTTTGCTGCTCACAGAACGTGCACCCTGGAGCAGTCAGGGAGAAAAGTCCTATAGTGATCTCAGGGAGGGGAAGCTCAACTTGGGTTTTTATAACAGGAATGGAGAGAAGATAAAACAATGAAAATTAACCTTTCCTTACTTGATTTGGATCTGCATAGCTGCTGGAGTGCATAAAAATGGCTCCTGCTTCCTTAGCAGTGGAGTTAGTTCTGAGGTCCAGTTTCTGTCAGTGCTTTTAATGTACAGATCTTAGAGATTTGCTCAGAATGGGAGGAGAATATCCATTTGTGAGATAAAAACTGAGCAAGGGGCATCAGCAATTGTTCAGAGCTAGACAGGGCATTACCTCCTCACTGCAGCCATTATTTACTCTGATACAGTTCTCATGCTCTCTCCCCTGTTCTTTATGCAAGACAGAGGCTCAGTGATTTTTTGCTGTCAGTGGTGAATGAAATATGAATGGTATACAGTCATTGTAAATTAAGTTTATAGCATTAGTTCAGTTTTTATAAGGCATATTATTAGTAATGGAGGTAACCATGTAATTGTAAAATGCTTTATGAAAGCAATAGCCCTTTAAATGTATCTAAATCACTGTCTCCAAATTACCTTTCAAAATTAAAAGCAAGATCTTGAAAACATTAGGAGCAACTCCTAAGTAGCATCATTGATCCCCCTTCTTTCTGAGGAGAAAACATTAATTTCAGGCTTACTTTAAAGTGGGCCTTAACAGCTGCATCGTTAAAATGTTTTCCAGATAATCGGATACAACTAACTTGCAAGTTGAAATTAAGCATCTTGAGGTATTCAGTTCTGATTTATATCTGTAGCTACTCAAATTGAGATTTGAGGCAGACCTGTTTTGTTTGGGGAAGACTGAAAAGTCATGATGCAAAACCCCATATATTTTATTGGTAAATAATAACTTAAATATTTAAAACACATGGCAGAAAGAAATTAGCGTTGCCTGTAAATGAGATGTACAGAATTCAGATGAGTGTATTGAATCCTTAAGCATGGGTCATCTGGCAAGATGTGACAGAATTAGATATTTTTGCCTTGTGATTATGATGGTTTCATGATAATCTGACCATTTAGTGTGTTGTTCTTCAGGTGATGCAGATCGAAAGCACTGTAAGTTCAAACCAGATCCTAACATCCCTCTGATGTTCAGTGCTGTCAATGAAGACTACCTTGGCAGTGGATGGTCACGAGGACACATGGCACCAGCAGGAGACAACAAATTTTCAACAGTAGGACTTTTTTCTTCCATCTTTTTAATTTGTGCTTATTGGCTGGAAAGGGTCAGAAGACCCTTAGAAGTAATGTGCAATGTTCCTTTGTTTTGAGGTGGAGTGTGATGTCATTATTGATGCACAGAGCTGGATATGGAGTTACAAGGTCTGTTCCTGGCTGAGCAGTGTAGGATGCTCTCACAGTCTGCTTCAGGCATCTAAATCAGGTGCATGCTCTGATGACATACCTCTCTTCATTAAATCACACCTACATCATCTTGTTTGGCACAGATGATGTCTTGAACAGTGTGGTGTTAAGCAAGTTTTCTCAGCCTCTTGCATGGCACATTGTCTACCTGTAAAATGAAGATGATAACCTTCACCAAGAAAACCCTGCAAGTCTTCAAAGCCCAGTTAAAGGGAGACAGGGACAATGATGTCATTGTGGCCAACAGCTGCTGAGATATTTAAGGCTAGAATGGTCAAAGCAAAGATGCTGTTAAGTACTGCTCTGTATTGACAAGGGGATTGCTTGGATGATTTAAAAGGCTTTTTTCTCCCTTGCAATGTGCATGAGGTAAATTAGACCCTTTTGCCATAGTTCTTTCAGTCTATAAAATCTCTTCACCTGCCATTTATTCAAGCTGTAAGAGAAGCATGCCTTAATGCCTTGGCTGACTTACAAAGCAGCCTTGAATTTATTGGATCCTCTTGTGAAATGTGCCTAATGCAGCAATTTGTTAATTAAGAAGCAGTTTGAATTTGTATTTCTCCATGCAGATAGTATCCAGTGGGGTAGAGTTACAGCACAGTGGCATGTGGTAAATGAAAGAATCAGTAGTTTTATTTATACTGGAAATGTCTTTGCTGTTATTTATTTCTGCTGTCTGGGGTATTTTTGCTGGTGAACTCCCTGTGCACAGAAATCCTGGACCTGGTTAGAAATGAGATGATACAGTCTTTCAAATATAGGATTATAAAAATTGGATTTCACTGTCTAATCAGTGGAGGTAGTGTTTGCTCATTATCCTAAAGAGTTCTGTCAGTCCCATCACCTTGCAATAGTAGTATGTGAAAAATATTGACAAATACAAGACCTGTGAAAATTCTGGATTAAGATCTTGGAATTTTTTCTCTCTGTATTTCCCTGTGTATGTCTAGTGATTTATCACCAGGTCCTTCACCTCTGGAGGTATGTAAGCTTCTGTTCAGAGATGTTTATGACACTTCTACAAGATGAAATTAAGCAGATATATGGATGTTTGACCATTATGGTCTCATAAATCATTTCATTGCCTGTATGTTATGTATGTAAAATATTGATGAATATATCTAATAAAACCTTTTCTTGGAAAGAAAAAATCAGCCATTAAGCAGTCAAATAAATGAAAAGCATGCTTGAAAGTGTCCTTCCCATTCAAAATGAAAAACGACTAGTTGCTTTCAAAGACATTACCAAACTGACACTGGGTGATAGTAATTCCTGTGCCTCCAGGGTTGGACATTCTCATGCTGTTTATAGATAACTTGGAAAGGTTTCACCTCAATTGTGCACCTCTTAATCCTAAATTATTTTGTAGGTGTTCTGACTTAAGTTTTTCTGATTTTATGTGTTAATAGATGTTAAACTAAACTAGAAATGGGATTCTGATCCACAAACTGCTAAAATGTGTCTTATGAATGTTTCAGTGAAATTACAGTATTTTCTTTCTCTATACAGAGAGCTATGGCTGAAACGTTTTATCTGTCCAACATTGTGCCTCAGAATTATGAAAATAATGCTGGGTTTTGGAACAGGTGAGAAATTACTTGTAAGTAAACTAAGTGAAAAATACCAGGCAGCAGCATAAATCAAAAATGCTTTATTTTTAAAGGTTCTTCACATCCAGGTATTTTAGAGCAGTGTATCTGTAGAGGTCATAGGAGCTTTCTCTGAAATGAAAGGCAGCTCAGTCCTCTCAGTGAAAGAACAGTATAGTGACTACTTTAATTCTTTGTTCAGTCAAAATGTCGAGGACATTTATTTAAAATAGATAAAATTATTTCTTCTGGCTGATGTGGAGTAAAAATACCAGGCTTAACTGTGCTTAAGAAAGTTTCAGCAGAAGCAAGGAGAGGGTTTAGATCTTCCTCAAAGAATCACTTGCAGTGTGAGTATTCCCATGTCTGTGTGTGGATGTTGGTTCCCTTTGAATTGGAGAACTGAGCACTCCCCACTGAGCCGTCACTTTTCAGGTCTGAGGTGTTCCTTCAGGTCCTGGCTCCCAAGGAGCAGTCAGGCAGGGTCTCTGTCACTTGTGAGTGCTGACTGGATTGACTTTGAGGTGGAGTGGTTGATAAATTTAAACATGCTTAATGGAAGATTTTATTCTTCCCTTCCTTTGAGCAGAGAACGTAGTAAAAGGAGCATTCATCCAGCTTCTTGCATAGGACTTAGAGAATGCGAAGGCTCAGAAACAGGAGGGGAAAATGACAGATCTCTCAAGGTTCACTGAAGGGAAGGTCAGCAAAATTATATACAGTGTTGTAATAAAAGTCCGTCAAAACTGCATCATCATTCATCTGCACACTGCTTTCCTGTTTTACAAGAATATGTATTAAATCAGAAGAGCCATTCAGTAAGGTTATAGTGTTTTATAGACAAATAAAATGCCATAACATTTTAAGAGGGTTTTTTTCTTTTTTTAATAACGCAAGTGTTTGAGCATAAATTTTCTTTTTACCAAACCTAGGCATTTGTATCTATTCAAGGTAGGGAAACCCTCTTTGTTTCCCTTAAGCAGGATCTCTGCCTAATCAAGAAATCATGGGGAGCATTTGAAAATTTCCTCTGGCACTATCAACCCTGCAATTTAAGCAATTATTGCCACTTTTTCCCAACCCCAGCACCCTGTTCCCAGAGTTTAAATGCATGAAAAAGGCAGCGATGCCACTTTTTTATGTCAGTGATTTCTTAAATAATAAATATTTTTAAGGATACCATATTTCACGTGTTGCATCCTTTCCTAGCTTCAGTATTCTCTTCCTTTCTCTTGTTTTAATTACTTGCTTCTTGTCTTGTCTTCTGAGGTGCAGACAGACAATGCAGTATAAGTGTCAGTATAACTGTCTGTTGTTTTCTAAAGTGGTGTTTGCCTTCCTGCCTTGTGTTTTTGCTGGTTTCCCAGTTCCAGCTTTGGTAGTAGCCTGACTGTGGTGAGTCAGTTTCCTTTGCCAGCCCAGTTAAAAACTGATTCTCATTTTGTTTTGCTTGGTTATGTTTCTGCCATATTGGAAAAGTGGATCAACTCATAGGTTGAGTTCTAGAACCAGCATGGAAGATGGATTAGGAGTGATCAGATGGGACAGACAAGGGGAATAGTAGGAAAGGGGAGAGCAGGACTGTAATCATCCAGCAAGCTGTTGAACTGCTGGACTGGTTCCATGGTATGCTCTAACTCCACCTTAGTATTCCTCATTCTCTTCCATCTGATATATTAACTGTTTCTGTCTTGTTCTGAGTGTCATGGTTTTGATTTCATGATCACTGTAATCTGACTTCTGTTCTTCCTGCCACCAAAAGCAGGAGGGACAGAAGTCAGATTACTCCGAATTTCTGTCAGAAATTTGACAGAAGTCAAATGCTCCCTAGCTGCATTTATTCCATTCTTTCCAGGTGGTGTTTGTATTTCCCTGCCATGAGACAGCCTGAGGAGCTGGGCTGCTTGGAAGCAAAGCTGGTGACAGTAGGAAAAGAATTCACTTGTAGTCAATGCTTTGATATATCACATGAAGAAAGAGCTCATTTTTGCTCATTCTCATTTGTGTGGCTCATTCTTGGTGATTTAACTTGCCCAACACAAAAGAAAAAAAAAAAATACTGGTTTTGTTCAGGGTTGTTGACAGAGAAAGTATGTTCAAGTGGCCCAAGGGAAAAGTGTGAGGAACAGGAATTAGAGAAGGGGGTGAAGCCTCCCCCTTTCAGAGGCAGCCAGATTAGCTGGGATAATCTGTTTTATACTCTATATGTCCATTTGTGTGAAGTGCAACTGTTACCTTTGTAGAGGACCAATTGTATTTTATTTGATTTCATTGTTTTGATTTCTGTAACAGTTGGGCTGTTAGATCAAAGATGCATAGAATTATTTGGATTAGCAGGAGCTTTAAATGGGAATTTTAAACCTAGTTCCAACCCCCTGCCATGGACAGAGACACCTTCCCCTATATCAGATTCCTCAAAATCCCATCCAGCCTGGCCTTGTTAATCTTTTGTTTTCTGTAAAATAGGTGTGATACAGGAACCTTCTTATTTGAGAAATATTATGTGCTATAAACTGAATCAATGTAAAAAGAAAAAATATGGTAGTATTCCTGGAGTTACTGTTTTATTTTTGAACAGTTTTATTTTTATTAAAAAAACAGTAGAGGTAGTGGAAATGGCAAACAGAAACTGGAACTACAGAAAGAGCTGTGTTGTGTTGCAGGACTTTGATTCCTTGGGAATAAACCCACAAATTCAGTAATATAAAACCTTTCAAAGTAAAAATGCCTCAATTTGCTGCTTAGAAAAATTCTTTTTTTTTTTTTTTTTAATCCCAAGTGACCACCAACAGTATATTTCCAGTGTCAAGTGTGGGAGTAAGTAGAGAACTCAGCTATTCAGACATGTGCTAAGGTTGCAGAAACCATTTTCAGATGTGTGCAGCAACACATGTCAATCTGTAAATAAATGAACCTTATTTACACAGGACAAATGGGAAGCAGGACTTGGGCCTACATTTTACCTTCTTTGGCTTGTGAATCACTCAGATGAATCTGGAAAAATGCTCCCTGTCAGTAGTTCACCCTTCCCTTCATAGTGTCTCAAAGATTAAATATTCCCAGCTGACTTCTCCTTATCTGACAAATATGTTCCAGAATGGAAATGTACTGTCGGGAATTGACTGAGAGATTTGAAGATGTTTGGGTTGTTTCTGGACCTCTTACCTTGCCTCAAACAGATGGTGATGGAAAGAAGAGTGTTACTTATCAGGTATGTATATATGTTGCTGGGATAATAGTGAAGTAGTAATTATTTATTTAAAATAGATACCATAACTTGATAAAACAAAAGTTGAGCATCTTAGTACAGGCAAAATATATAAAATGTGCAATGCTTGTTGGGACAAGATTAGCAGAAGTGTTACATCTTGCCTATACATGAAAAAGCATAATTTTAAAATAATTTGTTTATTTACAGAGATCTATTTCATGTCCACAGTCAGCAGTAGAACTGTTTATCCAGTCAGAGTCAGTGGGGTTTGTTAATGCACGGGCATCTATTTGATAAATTTCTTAATGAGCTTTAGAAAGAATGGAATGCAAAGGTAGGATAGGTCTCTCAAAACTCTACAAGATACTGGAGTGTCAGGGCTCTTAATTTCACAAGCAGTTGTTTGCTGCTGCACCATAGGCATCTCTTGGGAGGCCTTGCAGCTGAGATTCTGAGCATGCCAGAGTCACTTGGAAGACTTCACTCAAGTGCAGTATCAATGGTACTGCTACTTCCCTTCTTTTAGCCCCTTTTTGTTTATTACCTGCTTAAAATACTCTAAATATTCACCATGCACAGTCTGTAGAAACCATCACTGACAGACAGATGGGACAGGCTATGAAGTTGAGAAGTGAATTTATTGTTGCTTACCAAGACTTACTCTTAGTAGGCTTGTGTTTAGACATCTGTAAGGTTTGAGCATGGTAAGTTATTCAAGGGAGTGTTACCTTCTGCCCCCACTGCAATGAGATATTATTGCTATTTGCAGTTGCAGATGAAAGCTGGCATAATACAAATAATAAATGCTGCATTTTACACCTCTTGAAAAAAAAACCACTTTTCCTTGAATATAAGTAGTTGGATCAACTGCAGCTTCAGCTTGTGAGCAATTCAGCTTCCAAGCAGTTCTCTGAGGAGTAATGGATGAGCTTGCTGAAACAACCCCATATTTCACAGGGATATGAGAGACACAAAAGGGAGAGATCTTCAGCTCTCAACACTGGCTTGTTTAGCAGTAAGAATTAGGCACTGTTTCACCTTTATAAACATATAACTGATTTCCTTTTGATTGAACTTGGAACTTGGTCATGACAGAATATGATTTTTCCCGTTAACATTACAATAATGTTGACATTATCATAATGATAAAAGTAACATTACGGTAATGTTACTTTTTTACTTCTTGAGAAACTGCCTCTTATGTTTCCAGCCACACACGTCAGACCTTGACTGTCACAAAATCACAGCTTTGGATTTGTTATTTTTGGGGGGAGTTATGCATATGAAAATGCCATAGTAATAAGTTACCTTCTTCATGTTTAGTGGCAGTTCCAAACTTCAGCTCTCACCTCATCTTTGTGAAGGGAGGTGTAGACTGTGCTTATTTTTCAAGTGGATAAATAAGCCATGGTTAAGGGGTATGACCAATGCCAGATGATAAATTAGTGGCAAAGCCAGTTTTAGATTGGGAATCATCCTATGCCACCCACAGGTGCTCACTTCAGCATTGCCCTTTCTACTTTCCAGGCCTTTCTCTGCCTTTCTCTTGTCTGCCAGCGCTGATGACTGTAAGATCCTTCCAGAAAATGCTTGATTTTGTGCAGTAGCAAACCATCCATACTGGGTTTACTGGGCTAGTTTTGTTCTATTGTAGAAAGATTGAAGCAGCACACAGAGTAGTCCAGTGCTTCCTGGTGACAGAATGAGATATGTCCCAAAACACACAGCTGGGAACAGGAGGGAGATGTTCCCTCTCAACAATCTTCAGCTGAGCCTTTGGCTTCCTGTCACTCAAAATGCTACAGAGTTCTCCAGGCTTACACTCCAGGCTTGCTGGGATTTGCTGCCTTGTAGCTGTCAGGATATTGCATTTATTTTTCATACTTAAAAATATATATTCATCTTACATAGCAAAGAATTAAAAATCTTGAGCTGACTTGAACATTTTATAAGTGGAAATCATTTCCAGGGAGAAGTTAAATCATCTGTCAACTGCAGCTATCAATGGCTTCACTTTAATCTTGCTCTGAACGCGTATTTCTCTCTTCTTCTTTCGAGAAGGTGTTTACTTAGAAGAGGAAGATTGCATTTTCTGAAAAATGATTGTCATTCTCAGTCTTGGTTTTGAAATGTAAATTTTAGTATTCCACAGATAAAAATCAGAGCAGACACTGCATCTTACTGGCTTTATTCAAAATAACTTGATACCTGCATACAATGGTGACATAATAGTGGAACAAAATGCCCACGTTGTTGTGCTTGTGATCTCATTTAGTTCTTGTCTTTTGTCTTCTTCATCTTTGGGTTTGATGACAGCGCAGATCTTTTAGGAATGTTTTACCACTTTTGGTCTTACTATGAAGTAAAGTTCAGTGTGGGATTGAAAATGGTGAAGTGATGGTGTTCCTGTTTGTTTGTCACCACTTTTTTCACATTCATAAATCCTTTTACTTAGCTTCCTACAGTAAGATTCATTATGTAAATTGATTTTTACTTAAGTACAGATAATGGTGTGAAAAGTAAAATAATGATTCTGTGGGGTTTTTGTTTGTTTGTTTGTTTAAAATATTAAATGGTTTGATTTGAGTCCTCTAAATAAATACAGGCAGAGAATGTTGGGGTTCTTTTATTTTGAAATTTGTTCATAGCTTACGTTTTTGTGCTTTGCATTGCAGTTGTACTTTGAGGATGGAGACTTCAGAGTAGAGGGGTGTGTTGGGTTTGTTTGTTTGTTTTTTCTTTTATGAACACATACACTTAGAGGAGGAAACACCACGTGTCAAAGCACTGAAGAGAAGTTCTTTTCAAACACACACCTTGGATGTAATTGCAGTCATTGCCATTGATTTTGGTAGGGATTCTGCCTCTAAAGGAAGAACACTAATGGTTGTGAAGGGAAGGAATCTCTTAGCTGTCTTTCAGAGTGAACTCAGCAGACTTCACACAAATGACTTCAGACTGAAAGGGGTTTTAGTCCTCATTGTTTGGGCATGAGAAGCTGCTGTGAGAAGGTGTCCTTTCCTTTGTCCCTGCTGTTCAAGGAGAAGTGCTGCAGTACACACCAGAGTGCTGAAACTCACAACCCGTAATCTGCCAGTGCCCCTGTTAAGGCTCAGCTCCTCTCTAATGTTTTTGCTCTCTCAGACAGAGCTGTGAAAAGGAGAGAAGGAAAACAGTGAACTGCTACAGTGAATGTGTCTGCACTGATTTGTTTCAGATAGTCTCTTCAATCTTAGTTTCCTTGTTTTTGGCTAAAGGACTGGTGAAATATGTATCCATGGTTTTACATGCTAGTGTTTTTCTCATCAAACATCCAAAAAGGTTATTTTTAGATCACTAAAGAGGAGAAACAGAACATCAGTCATGGCTTTGTTCCCAGTCCCTGCTTGGACTCTGGTACCATTTGCTCTTTAATTCCAGAAAGGGAATTAACCTTGAACTCCTTAGATGCCAGCATTGTTCTGTCTATTGGCTGAACTTGTGATATCCTCAGATATATTCTGTCATTTCATCTGTCTCCAGCGGAGACTTTTATTGCAGAGAGTGGATTGATGATCATGCTTGGTATCTGAAAAACATATTTTGAGAGTATATGTAGAATAGAATGCCAACAGGAAAATCTGTTCTGTATCATTGGAGAGGCAGATGCAGGTTTTTCATCTTTGTCCAGATCAAATCAAAATGACATTGTCTTGTTTTATACATTACTGCTATCCAGTGACTGTCACTTTAGTGATTTTCCAGATTTGGAGTTTCAAATACAAATTTTGCAATAATTAACAACATCATGCTCAGTGCTCCACCCTCCCCATTCCCAAGCCATCCCAGTGAATGCTAATTTAAGAAGAATTAGCTGTGGCTGCCAAATGAAAATACAGTTTAGATTATGTTTTGTTTGTTGTTTGAAAAAGCCATTTTAATGTACTTTTTACTGATACATGAGATTCATACTGGAATTATGTTTGCTGTTTAATTTTCTAAATTTAATCACCAGGCTGGGCCAGAGAGGCAGAAGATACAGTTGTCATCTCTTTCTGTGACAAATAACTGGGAAACAAATTGCACTCTCAAATATGAGATGGTCCTTTATGTTTTTACCCAGTTAACTTTCAGAACTAGTAGAGGTTGTCTCCTACTAAGATGCTATAGGGGAATGAATGCTCGTTAAAGGAGGAAATAAACTTGGGAATTATTCCTTGTTTGTTGGCTGCTCCAAGTGGTCCCAAGAGATTCCTACTGGATGTAGGTCCATTATAGATGTCCCATAAACATTATGGAAAGCGTTCAGTCTTAGATCACCTGCGTAAACCAGCAGAGCTCTGTCAGACCTAAATTTAGATGTGAGGTACAAATGAATGGAATAGACACTGGGTTATAGTGGGAGGAGAAGAGACACTGAAGGTGCAGGAGAGATTAATTGAGAATGCTTTTATTTAGCACTGTACCCATCCTGAAAGTTATGCTGTTATAGGAAGAGAGGTGTTAAGGACTGTGGTGGATTCTTGTTTAGGCTAATCTAAGTGAATTCTGTGGAAGTAGTAGTCTGTCATCATGTAAATACAGTTTATTGCATACATTATATATATATTCATACCCTCTTTATTAAAGAAAAAGGGGCTGGAGCACCTATCTTTAAATGTCATAACTCTGTATTCAGGAACAGGGTTTTTTTTTGCCATCTCATTTCTTTTTTTCCTTCCCTTTTTAGAATTGCCAAATGATTTGGCAATAACAATCAGACCAGCCATAACAAATTAAATTTTCCTGAAGTACATACATTTGCATTTTGGAATGTTTGGCTGTGCAGATTGTTACTATGATTTTTATCTGTAGTGTTTTGTGGTTTGTGTGTTGCTAGGCCTGCCTTCACACCCCTCAGTTCTTCTCAGTGCCATCTGACAGAGCTCTCTCAAATATTGGGGGAAAACACTCTTGGCAGAGTCAGTGCTGCCCAACAAAGCCAGAAGGAACTTGAGTGGAGGCAGTTAATGCTGTCACAA